TGGTTATAATTTGTTCACCTTAGAGAGGATAGTTTGTTTATGGTGGACTCAAACCATGAAATCATAATTAAAAAACAAAAAATCAATACTCCAAAAGATTCGCTTGATTTTTTGAATTTGATTTGGATTTTTGAGTAATAATATTTTTTATTTTTCTAGTAAAAATTAAAAGTAAAAAGTAAAAAAGAAGAAGAAGAAGAAAATTGATTGTTATATGTGTGAAGCTTGTGAATAAAGACCAAGTATGTGTGACTTCGAAAAAAAATGAAATCCACGTGTTTTATTTACTTTTTTATATATAATCAAAATTTATCGAAATCAATTTTATAGGTGTTTTTTAATTGAAAATTGACCGTGCATATACACATAAAACACTTATTAATTTTCTTGTTTTTAAATTTTTAGATATTTTAAAATCAATTTATCTCGGATAAAATAATTCAAATGATGTTTTAAAAAACCCGATGGTACCATATTTTTCAAATAGAGTGTTTTATGCCAATATTATTGATTATATATACATATAAACATAATATACATACTTTCCAAAATTAATCTTCTCATCAATATTCAATAAGGATAACAATTTATTTTTAATTTTTTAATTCTTACGTAATTTTTACATTAATTTTGTTTTTAATCTTATAAAAACATTATACATTTTTTAGAGTTTTGATTAGTTTAAAATTGCATTGTAAATTATTATAAATTTTTTGTTTAAGAATCCATGTATAAATAAAAACAAATCATGTTTTTTTTACTAAAAAATCTATTAAAAATATAAGAAAAAAATAATCGAGCACAAAATTTTGATTCAAAAACCATAAAGTCATGTAGTTTTTTTTCTTTTGATTTAGATGCATTTTAGTATACTTGTAGCACAAGGAGAACCATCAAACTATAATGATTTTTTCAAATAAATTTGCTTGTCCTATTCAATCCTTAGCATAACATGAGCAACCAACTATTATTGTCAAAATGGAAAAACGAGAGGTGATAAAAAACAAAAAAAAAGGGTGTAGACGAAAATTTGAAATGCACAATACCAAATTTACATCAATTCTTATGCTTGCATGATATGTGAAATAAGAAATCCACATATAGTTACTATTAACAATAAAGCTAACATAATTGACTATTAATGCATGGAAAAATTCCATTCGTACCAAATAATGTTCACCCACTCTTTTTGTTTTTTTGCTATTCACACATTCTTTATTCCTCGATGAAGGGAGGAAAAGGGAGATGAAAAGAAAGGCAAAGGAGAGAGAATGTCATAATAATGCCTGCTCCAAACACGATGAACATAGAAATTGGCTATAATATGCTTATTTTGGCTAAGAGAGTTTGTTCATGGTAATCTCAAGCCGTGAAATTGACATTGGAGTGTGCACTTTGACTTGAGGTTTATAATTTCAAGCTGAATTGGGACTAAATATTTTGAGTCCTATTATTTATTTTACTTGGTTATTTTTATTTATCTTATTTGCTTAAGAATTTATAATTGTATTTGGATTTTTATTTTTTATTTTTTTTAATGAATTCATAAATAAACAGGAGTATATAATTACTTAAGAGTCCGTATTTAATTTGGACTAGGTTAATTCATCTTTATTAGGTTTGAATTGGACTAAGGTTATTAAGTCCAAATATATTAGAATTTATATTTTTTGGGTTTTATACTTTTCCTATTTTTTAGGAAGCGGTAACCGCACTTTTGTGTGCTCTATTTTTTCTAGGTTAATTTTAGGGTTTTCTTATTAGGGTTATGAGTGAGTATTTAAACCTCATTATGTAATTTAAAAAATATAGTTTTAATAATTTTTTAAAATAAAATTTGTGTGAGAATTTTCTCCCAAACTTTGTGCTCTGTGTGCTTTGCTTAGGCCATGGCTTAATCCTTGTATTTGCCTACGATTTTTCATTTTGTATTCTTGAAGTGATCAATCACCATAATGTCTTCGAGCATTTCGTGGACTTTGTATTTAGCTTAGGTTTTGAAGTTATCCAACGTAAACATGATTAGACCTCGATTTATTTTTATTTATTTATTTTGTGGATTTAAACTTACTTCCACGTTGAATTCATCTATTACAAGAATTGGTTTGCAGAGCTAGGGTTTTAGCTAGCTTGTTGTTTTGTTGCATAAAGTTTTAGCCAACATCAAATTAGGGTTGGTTTAATTCCGGCACATTTGGTTGTTGAGTGTTGGATTATTTTCCGATTGCTTTGTGATTTAATATTGGTGTGGAGATTATTTTTTGTGTTTTGAGTTGATTTTGGCATCATCCAATTTTGGCCAATATTGATTTTGTAGGTTTTGAAACTCAAGTGATGAGGTTAGTAAGGCTATTGAATTTGGTTTATTTGGATATTTTTTATTTATGTGTTTTAAATTGAATTATTTTCACATATTTGGTGTCGGATGTCGTGGGAGGATGGAGATTGAAACCTAAAAAATATATTTTAACATTTGGATTTGATTTTTATATTTTTTTAGGTGCATCGAATGAGTTTAAAGGTTTCAAACGAGTTTTTTAAGGTTGTTTAAGTGATTTTGAGTTGTTTTGGGATAAAAATAACAATGAAATGGGATTTTAGAATGCTAAAAATTGGTGGCTCTGATTTTTTTGGAACAAAAATTTGCTAAGAGTTAAGGAAGAACAATGCTTCTTCCACTACGCATTATGCGGACGATGCGTCTTGTGCTCTTTTTTTTTTTTTTCTTAATAATAATTGGTTGGCCTTCATGTGTCTAGCCCATACTTAAGCACGAATTGGTTACTAGATGAATAGATAAGAGAGAAACGAAGAGAGAGGCAAAAGAAGAAGAAGAGAGAATGTCATGGCAAGGCCCATTCCGAACACGATAACCATAGAGATTGGCTTCAATGCGTTTTTATTGAAGAGGAGAGTTTATTCATGGTTGTCTCAAATTATAAAATGATCGAATAAAGTAGATTGAGATTCCAAAATATATTTTAATTTTTAGATTTTATTTTATCTTTATATTTTTTAGGTGCACTAAAATGAGTTTCTAAGGTTGTTTTAATGATTTTGAGATAAGGTTGTTTTAATGATTTTGGGATAAAAATGATTGTAAAATGGGATTTTAAGAGGCCATTAATTGGTGGCTCTAATTTTTCAATGAACAAATGTTCGCCGAATGTTATAGGAAGAACGATGCCTCTCCCCCGAGCATTACATGGAGAACACGTTGTTCAATCTTTTTGTTTTCAAATAATAGTTGGCTAGTCTACTTCGGGAATCTAGTTCTCAGTTCTCTAGTTCGCGCCTAGCTTGCTTTTCTTGCACAAAACAAGCGTAATTAAGAAGATGCATAACATAAGGAATTCTATAGTATAGCTTCAAATGCTCCAATTTTTGTTGTGAAAGCTCGGTTTTTTCATAAATTTCATTCTTGGGTCTTTGGATGTTAAGAATGAGATAATTCTAGAGGCGGAGGGGAAGGAATAGAAAAGAAAGGGGTGGACACAGAAGTTGCGCCCGATCTTTCCCGTGCCTTTTGCCTTACCCAATACGCCCCTCCCTAGTAGTAGGGCTAGTAGCAGTAGTAGTCTAAGCTCCCTCTTTGCAAGGATAGGAATAGGGTACAACTTACTCTTTGAGTAAAAAGACGGTGTTTTCAATTTTAAGAGTAACAAAGGTTTCTTGTTGCCTCGGTGATTGGAGTGGTTAGTTATGCGAGTTACTTTCTTCCAAGTGAATCTAAGGTGAGATGAGGAAAGGATCTAATGATTGTTTTCCTTTTACATCTTTTCCTAATGTTATTTAATTTTTTTATCGTTTAGTTTTGTGCTAAAATAAGCTCTTAAACTTAAATAACTTCTTGTTAACTAACAAATCCAAAATTTTAGCACCGGTAATAGCTATTACATTTAGTGGCACAATTCATATGGCATTAACAATTTTGAGTGTTAAATTTGACCGACCAATCTAATAGCATGATACAATTTTTAGAAACTCAAGATATTGGCTAGGCTCGGTGTTTGAGAGGAAGACATTCATTATATTTAATGAGATCGTCATCCTCGAATTAAGATTAATGGTTAAATAACTTTCATTCTACGAACTGATCGTATCGATGACATAGCTTATCATATATTGAATGAACGACGAATACTTATAAAACTAATTCTCATTTAGTGTTTAGAGGACCTTCCAATATGTAAGTTAGCTTATGAAGAAAAGTGTGTTGTCTAAGTAGGCTTTAAAGGACTTTATTTTTATATAGAGAAATTATCTATTTTGAATTTTTGAAAGTAGAACTAATAACACTTGGTGCATTAAAATTTATATTGATGAAATTTATATCCATGAAGGTTATCAATTTGCATAGAGTGAATGATAAATTAGTTTTTTTTTTTTTAACAGCTTCCAATATTCATTGGAAGATTTTACTATTTAAATGGCCAAAAGACTTCTGGTCATGGTTGGTGGAACTAGTACTGTTTAAAAGACATGTCTTTATTTATTAAGTGTACATTATGTTCCTTCAACTGATGGCAACCGGAGAGAACGACCAAAACTCGCATTGAGTTGAGATGCATGTCAACCCTTCATGGACCTGCTATCAGGATTTTGGACGTTGGGCCGAATATATCTATGGAGATTGGATTTTTTTCCCCGAGTGTTGTTTGCGAAGAGATCTGTTATTTTCTTCGGGTATATCAACATTTTGAACAGGATATAAGCAACACAGCCACAATTAACAAGATTTACTAAATTAATGCCGGGTTGTTTGCACTGCCCATTGGATGCGAACGCAATTTTTTGTGAAAGCTTCTTCTTGCTGCTGTCTGTGCTAAATCAAAAGAACCTTGCATGTATTAAAAGAAATTCAGTATATTTCTCAAGTCATTGGCTAGCCACAGCAATTTTTTCTGCCTCCAAGTTCCAAAACTTCAGCCAAAACAGAGAAAATAAATAGAAGGAGAAATAGTGAGATTCGGAAATGCTTTACAATACAGCCATGAGCCTTAAACCATTAGCAATGAACTCAAAACAAGCAAAATTGCTACATGGAAGAATGTCCACGGGGAATGGCTGCTTCTATGATCACCTGCTCTAAGACTGCCTCCAGCTGAAACAGAACAAAAATCAGAAAAACTTAGCCAGCAAACCTCAGAGCTAACCACATATAATAAGTTTCTTTAGCTCAAATTAACCTCTCTAGTAGTTCTTGACAAGCAAAGATTAAATAATTCTTACCGCATTCTCTGGTATAATTAGTGGAGCTCGAGCACAGACACAACATCCCTTCAGTCTCAGTATCGTACCCGCAAGTCCCACCAGACTGTGAGCACCTTTCACAACCAGTTTCAGGCACACTGAAAGAAAGTTTGATCCCATAAACCCAATCCAAAGGTCCAATTCCCCTCAAATTATCAGTATTAATCACAGTAGTATAATGCGTGCAGTCCAAAATATTCATGCTCATAAACTTCACTGTATCATACCCAGTAAAACAACAAGGTGGAGAACTGTTAGTTAACAAATGGAAAACTCTAAAAGCATTGCACGCGCTATAGAACTCATCACAAGAGTGGCCAGAGAAGTTGAAACAAAGATTTTTGTAATGGTTAAGTACTGGAGAGTCAATAGAGCAATTAAGAAGAGCAAAAACAGTGTCTGGCGTTGGAGGGATAGTGACAGATTGAATTTCTGACATGATAAAATCATGGTGGGGTTGTAGAATGGAGCATGTTGACATAGCAGGATCGTATATTGTCATTGTTTTCTTTTCATAATCTATGTGCTGGACCTTGTAGCCACCTGAAGGGGTTAAAAAGAACAAGTCAGTGCTGCAGTTCAGCATGTGCCGAAACTGCGGAGCTCCGCACCCATCGTCGATGCCAAATGGGTAGTTTATGGCAATGCTGCCACAGGAGGTTCTGCAGGGAGTGAGGGAAAGGACTGGTAGTGGTTGAAGTGTTAGGATTATGAATATGGATAGCTTGAAAGTGAGGAGAGATGCTAGTGTAGAATGCATTTCTTCGCTAGTTTCGTTTGTAAACCAAAAAATGTGGCAAAGATGTTTCAGGAGATAAGCTAGAAGAGAGAGGAAAGGGCAATTTTGGTGGTAAGAACTCAGAAAGATCAGTGACTTTGGCACCATTTCGATTTTGGCAAAAGAAAAGCACAGTTACTGGCAACATCTCCATGATTTACTCAACTGGCTGGAATGGGATGGAAAGCTTTTTGACCGTTAAGAGCGAGACAGCCTGGTGCTGGGATCCACTAGTTGAAATTGAAGGAAAAGTTGGCTCGTCTTTTTCAAACATAGCGGCCCGCTGTATGAAATACGAATTGAACTCAGCTTGGAAAACGCGCATAAGCCGAATGCAAGGTGATTTTTCCATGATAATAAGTTATAAGTAGAAACTGAGTATTCCACTGTTGAATATTTATATCTAGTAATTGAAAGTAATGCACGGTAAGAGTGCAAAGAGAAAAGAAACCAAAAATTGACTCCCCGAAAAGCAGTTACATTCTTGGATTTTGCTTGACTTTTATCTCTATAAGAGTATAGCATTCAAGAAACTGGTTAATCAAGCGTTTTCGAGGGGATTGGAAATACAAAAACAGTCCAACAACGGTAATTTCTTCATAAAAAATAAAACTATAAACCTAAAAAACACACAATAATGGGTTTTTTCCGTCAAATACGATTTAATACTTCAGCCCAAGTTGATGCCCTGTATAACGTGTGAAACAACATTTTGAGGGGTGAATGAGATATACTTGAACGCAAGGGTGATCGATTGAAAAATTAGTTCTGCGAGTTGATGGATAAACTAGGTTGCCAGCGGCAAACTGAAGATAATCCCTGAGGAAATTGGAGGTCAGCTTGGGGTCACGGGTAACTGGATAATAGTTGGAGGGGAAATAGCTAATCACTCGTCAGAGACTCAGAGCAAGTCATTTACATTCCCATTGGCTCTCGAGTCTTGACTGCTCAAGCTTGCTTAAGCCATCAACTCCATGTTCAAGTATAAACTAGATAACCTAAACGGTTCCGTTTAATTACAATCAGTAGGGTTGATGTTGTCTAGCGATCATTGACTGTCGAACATTTCCAAACATCCTGAACCAAAAGCAAGACCCAAAGAACGTAGAGAAAACACACTGGAACTATGTCGCCCAGAAATCTAAAACTTTTAGGCTTGCGCAGCCAAATACATAGATCGATAAACAACTCCTCGTATTAGGCAACTCCATGCATAGATAACAAAAGGGAAATGAAAAATTGTGGCACACATTGAAATAGTCCTGAAGACAAATGGTTTCTTTCAACAAAATAAACACTTTACAAACATCCAGTCACATCACACACAATACTTATTTCAACTAAATAAACACTTGAAAATCTACAGAACCCACATGTGACAGATTTGTTCATCTCCACAGTTAAAAGGAAGTCCACTGATCATATTCTAATGATCAACATTGGTGAAGCGGAGGTATCCTTTATTGGATGGAAGTTCAACAGTCTTAAAGCCCTGAGGGAACATCTTTTTAGCTTCCTCGTCAGAGACACTAGGAGAGATGACCACATCTTGACCTGGCTTCCAATTTGCGGGAGTCGCAATCTTGTTCTTTGATGCCGTCTCTAGGGAATCCAAAACCCTCACTACTTCATCCATGTTGCGGCCAGTGCTTGCTGGGTACAGAAAGCTCAGCTTGATCTAGGATAATATGTCATCCCACGATTAATTAACTTTGATCAGCGTAATAAATTACAATGATTGAAATTTCCGTTTATCAATAAACGTGAGAATGAAGTTACGTTTAAATTTGAAAGCAAAATGGGATATTTTTTATTGCTAACCAAATCAATTATTATTAAAAAAAAAAATAGAGAGATGAAAATTATGGTTTTCGAGCTCACCCTCTTATCAGCACCAACAATATGCAGAGCTCGAGATGGAACATTGTGCCCAGAGGAGTCCTTCTCATCTGGATCCACCATATTAAGTTGCTTGATGAGCTCCCTGTTAGGATCTGCAATAATTGGGTATGAAACCTTGCATCCAGGCTGCATGCACAAATCGTTCTGTTAGATATTTTCCAATAGCCAAATTATTGGATAAGGTTGCTGGACACAGCCATGTAACTAAAAAATTCCTTAGAATTTGTTCTGTTAAATATTTTCCAATAACCAACTTAACAGAGATTGTTTAGAGAAGAAAATTCTTACAGTGTAGGCTTCGATGTCCTTGACCCACTCAACATGAGACAAAACATCATCACAGGACAGTCCCAAAAGCTTGACCCCTCTCTTAGCAAATTCTGGAGCATAAGCAGCCATCTGACCAAGCTCAGTGGTGCAAACCGGTGTGAAATCACCTACATGCGAGTAAAATAAAACACCATTTATTAACTAACAGTAAACAATAACATAAAAAACAGTTACACAAACACAAAATTTGAAACTATAAATATATAGATGCACCAACCTGGGTGAGAGAAGAGAATAGTCCAGGTATCTATGAAATCATGAAGCTTGATAGCTCCATGAGTGGTTTCAACTTCAAGGTTTGGGACAGTGTCTCCAATAGTAAGGCCTGGCATTTTCAAAGTCTGAAAAATAATGAAGTCTCTGTTTTCTCTGTTTTTTGCTACTGTGAAGTTGGAATTTAGAAGGTGCGGGGTGTTTAAAGGAGGTGAAAGGGCGTTTGCATGAAGAGAACGTGGCATGTATCGTGGCTATGGCTTTGGCAGTTACGTGCGTTCGAGTGTGGTTTTTGAGGATGGGCCGCTTCATCCACGTGGCAACGTTTGTAATTTTTGTAAGTCTTGCTTATTTGTCACTCCTGCGATATGCGAATGACCTCCGTTTGTCTCTTGGCATGAGCCATTCTACAGCGGGCACGAGTAAAATAGATAATCACTAAGTGGAGGCCCGCGCTTCGCTGCGGGTGGATTTCCGTTTGATGATGGACCGTGGACGGATTGTTGTTTGATGATGGAAGCAGTTGGAAATTGATGTTGCTTTGAAAGAATTTTTTTGAAGTCAAAGATAATTTTTTTTGTATTATATATATATATATATAGCTTATGCTTTTGGTATATAAATGTATATGAATCTTGTTTATGAAATGGATTGAGCTGTGTTATTTTTCTAAGATCAGTTATTGTTGTTGTTTTTTTAGAATTCTTTTTTTTCATGGAAATTTGATTCGTTGTTTTTTTATTTAATAAAATGGTTAGATCTTGTAATATTAAAAATGTACAGCAAGTTAGTTATGATAAAAAAATACTGGAATATGTAAAATATAATATTATAAATAATATAGGATAAGAGTTTTAATAGAAAAAGAGAAAGAACTATAGAAACAATCATAAGATAGCAGTTAATATCCATTTTTTTATAAATCCATTGTCATCAAAGTAATGCGTTGTGAGTATTTTTAAATAATGTTTGAACTCGAAAGCTAAATTTTTATCATGTAAATAATTGATGTTTATGTATTTTATAAATTTTATATCGAAAAGAAATATGATTTTTGCTGCATTACTTTTTTCAATGAAAAATATAATAATATGAATAAAAAATTTAATCGTCAATTTTTTAAAAAAAGAATTGGAAAATGGAAGATGAGTTTTTGAATGGTTTATTGTGAAAAATGTAAAAAAGTTTGTAAATCTACATGTAAATAGTTTTTAAAATCATAAATGATTACTTTGTTTTGAAATGTGTCAATAAGTTATAAGAAAATTCTAAATTTGGAAGTCAAATTTTTATTATGTGAGCAATCTATGATTATGGTTTTTTTTATGTATATAAAATCTATATTCAAAAGAAACATGATTTTTATTGATATATTGATTGTTAGATACAAATTTGTAAAAACTAAATTAAGAATTTTAAAAAAATTAAAATTGTTCATTGATGTCGGTGATTTTATAAAAATTAAGATATTATAAAATATTTTTTATCTTTTTTTTTTAATTTCGATGGGATGATCACAAATTAGCCTAGAACAATCAATAACAATAACCCCATCTCACAATTGACATGACAACCAGGAAAAAAAAATGAAACGGAAAAAAGAACTATTCACTTACATCGAGAGTAAAATCGAAGAAAACCAACAAGAAAAACAAGAGAAAAGATAAAAAAGTTGTTATAAAATAATGAATGTCTATATGAATGTCCATCTACTTTTCATATCCCCACTACTCATAATCTTTAATATGATTCAATTCACCATTCAATATGAAAAATTGAAAGGGTGATGCTTGATGTACTTTTAATTATTCATAGTCCCTTCCAATTCTCATCTCAATTTTGAGGCCTATAAATAAGCTTGATTGTTCATTTATTGAGGTACAAGTTTCTTAGAGAGATTAAGAGAATAACTTGAAGTTTTCTCACTTGTATTCACTTTATAGTGAATTCTTCTTCTTGCCATCATTTCTTTAAATTCTCATATATCTTTTATTTTTCACAACAAAAATAAAAAATAAAAAACAAAGAGAGAAATCGAGAAATGACGTCATGTGTAGCACCATTAAATGTATTGCGGAAAAAGAAGGACACAAAATGATGAAAAAAACACTTGAGAGCGACAAATAACAAATTGGAAAAAAATGAAAAATAAAAAGAAAACCAAAGGGTAAAAAAAGATTACCCCACCAAAAAAACATAAAAAATCAAACCCACCCCGACTCTTAATACGTAGAAATCAAGGATAAAAAGGGAGCACCAAGGAGCCAACAACGTAATCCACCCAATGGCACAACCTAAAATACACAAACATAGGAGGGTGCGAAATAACAATGCAATAAAATGTCCAAAGAAAACAAAAGAGCACCGTAATAAAATGTCCAAAAAGAACAATAAATGTATAGGAAAAATAGTGTTGGTGAACAGTTAACCATAGAATGAAATGGCATTCTATTTTAGTTTTTTGCTATTTTATGATCCGTGCTTTGCTACGAGCCTAATATGATTAGATAGGTATGGGGTAACGATGTTGATAAATGACATTATAAAATAAGATGGTATTTATAAATGAATTAATTTATTAATTAATAAATTTATCGTTACCAACTTATTTTGTTGTAGTGATTGATGTTGTGCGATGTAGGTTGCACAAACATAATTTTTTTTATCGATAGATCTCTTCGCGTATCAAATGCAAAGTTCTAAAATTATCAATATTATAACTCTTTTGATGCGAGTGCACGATTAGTTTTTAGCATAATATTTGTGTTTTTCATAATTTTTCCAACTCAAAAAACATGATTCGTTTTTCTTTATTCAATGATTTTAAAATAAAAGTCTAAAATAATGTCAATTATACATTTTATCCAAAATTCAAAAATATGCAATCAAAAAATATATATATTTTGTAAGGTTCTATCAAAAGTCTGTTTTTATTTTATTTTATTAATGTTGATGAGAATATGAATTTTTAAAAACATATGTAGTGAAGATGAATGTGCGCCTATAGTAAAACACAAGATAACTTAAGGTTTTATTTTAACATTCTTTTTTAATTAGATAACTTCGTGTCACAATCCTAACTCACTTCACTAACCCACAAATATGACTCCTAAACCAAGAAGATATTTAAGCTATTAACCCTCTTCTTCGAACCGAGTCTATGAAATTATTTAAGGCTTGAGAACTTGAAATAACAACATGTGTGCTTTGATTAAAAAGGATTAAAGGAGTGATGGAGTGCTATGCCTATTTGAAATAATATATTTTTTTAATGTTAGTCTCACTTTCAATGTCCTTCGATTTGGAACTCGGATATAGAGTTACTAGATGGTTTATGGTTGATGCATCTAGCGTGGAGAAAGGATCGAGCGAGTGGGTCAATTGTTATATCTAAGCCATGTACCATCCTCATTTTAGTGTGTTATTTATCCTAATATGTTTGTTTTTTAAAAAAACATGTACCATCCTTATTTAATATCTTCATGTTATGAAATCATCTAAAACTGGCATATATTGAAAGAACTACTATAAATTACAATTAATGTAATCTTTTGTATCAAATTGTAGTACTCCTCACTAAGGTTTGTTTGAGCAAGCGTAAAGATTAACATTGATTATGTTTTTTTTTCGAGAAGGTCCATGCTTCTTAATTTGAAAAAAAAAAAAATCATCAACACAAATATAAAAGAAAATGAAAAAAAAAAACAAAGATTAATGTTAATGTCAATTTTTTAGCATCGCCTATACTCTTTCCTGTTTATAATGTAGCATGACCAAATAAGAATTACTTTTCTCTTATATATGCGTGTGTGTCCGTATACACACGCATTAATAAGAATTGCTCATGAATTATGCAAAATCAAAGGATTTATGTAGAATTAATGAACAACTTTGTAAAAAAAAATTGAATTTCTACATAATTAATGAAGAATCATAAAAAATTGAATTTTTACAAAATTAATGAAGAATTATAAAAAATTGAATTTCTACAAAATTGTTCACCAATTATGTAGAAATTCATCATTTCTGCAAAATTGATGAACAAGTATGCCAATTGTGCAAAAAACACATATTCCGCATAATTGATGGACAATTATGCAAAAGCTGTTCAAAAATTTTTGCTTTCCCCTTTAACACAACAATCAATATTTAACAAAAAAAACTTATACATTCATCCACAATACTTTATTTCCTATAACAATTAACATTCCTCTTTAACATTAAAAAAAAAACCTCATACATAAACATGTTAATTTTCATAAATCAACATTAAATTATAAGTTTTTTCACATAATGTTTAATATATTCAACATTCAACTAGTACATTGTTACATAACAATAACATTGCAATCCCATCAACTTGTATAAACTTACAAACAATCCTATTGAATAAGATCCATTCGAGACACTTTAAAAAATTATCATAACCCATCAAATAAACTTAGTCAACATTAACCTAATCCCAATGACATCCTACTTAACTATCAACAATCAAGCTAATATCATAATTATTACAATCAAACAACCAACACAGTGGTTACACCCAAAAGTCTTCTTATCTCTATCTTCGTTACTACCGACAATGAAGGAGATTTTTTCCCAACGGACGCTCATTCTTTGCGGCTAGCCTCTTTTCAATACACTTCAATGCATTAATTACATTTCTTGCTCGTCTTTTAACCATAAGATCTTGAAAATGAAATAACTACATTTTGTACTTGTCATTTACTCGTAGCATCCTTAACCTAATTCCTAACAAAAACTTTGTATAACTTAGCCATTTTAGTTCTAGAAAATTCAATTAATCACAAAATATCACTTAGGATCGTTAAAACCTCATATTAGAAAGATTAGGAATTTTTTTTTGGGCGAGCAGGTTACACGGCCGTGTACTTGTCCGTGTAACTTAAAACTCATTTTCCCTTGAAAATAGAAGGTTACATGGCCTTCCACACGGGCGTGTACCTTTCCGTGTACGTTTACGCCCAAAACAAGAGTTTTTCGGTCATAACATTTCAAACCTAATCAACAACATTCTTTCCACTTATAACCCTTAGATATTCAATCAAAACCACTTTTTATTTATTCATAAACACGTCACAAAACACCTCAAGGAGTTCATATTTACATAGTTACATATACAATTCAAAAATCTCTTAGGATGCATATGCTCGGCATAATGAGAGAGATGAGAGGGAGATCGCCAACCGACTCGTCACTCATGACGTGAATTGAACAACAAAAGATGACTTTAACTTCCACTTCTTGCTTCTTAGTACCTAAAAAGATAATTGCATTTTTAATGAGATGCTACTCAATGAGAGAACAATAATCCATTGAAACCATAATATGCAATCACGTCATCCGAGTATCATCACATATAAACAATACAGGTAGTTCATATGACTCTAAGATTACATGCTTTTCTTTTTCTTATCGGTTATAACTTGGACATGTCAAGTTTCGCCCCGAGTACTTGTAACTTGTAAACTTGTACACATGTATTGTTGGCCAGCTTTTATAACTTGTAGTTGACCCGTTAGGTCCTTGTAAACTTGTATTTGCAAAACTTGGACAAGCAAGTCATAACCTTAACCTCTTAGTCTTGCATATATCATGAATGTTTCACATGTAGCATATACAACATCTATGGCTTACACCATGGTACATATCCATTATAACATCAATAAACATAACGTTTACGTCAACTCGTAAACGGCACATCATTCACATCATAATATCAATATCAATAAACATAATATTGTTATAACATCAATAAACACAACGTTTGCGTCAACTAGCAAACGACACATCATTCACATCATAGTATCAATATCAATAAATATAATATTAGCACTCAATAACAATAACACATCATGGTACAACTATTATTATTCAACTCACAAAAATGACGTCTTCGTCGTTTATCAATGCGTCGCGTCTTGCACCTCACGCTCCTCGGCGTCTATAAACACATACACATATACTTTTATAAGTCATTTTATCATGATCAAACTTCTAAATATGCTCAAGGTACAAAATATGACTTTAAGGTTTACTTATTTCTTTATGGGTACTTGACCCCTTTTCACTCTTTCTACCATAAGTCCCAAAATACAGATTCAAATGATGCAATTCTAGTTTCACATGAAACTATACTCATAGGGCTCTAACATATCCAAAAATCAAGTCTATTTACAAAATACACAACTCATGGTGATTTTCTAAAAACCGAGTTGTTGCCATTTCTTTATGGGTACTTGACCCCTTTATAGTTCACACTCTTTGTACTATAAATCCTAAAATACAGGGTAAAATGACAAAATTCTAGTTTCACATGAAACTAGAATCAAAGGTATCTAACATATCCAAAAATCAGCCCAATATTCCATATACATGGTTTATTCTGGATTTTCAAACTCTAACTAGTTTCCAAGCACCTTTGTTACCGAGCAGTCTCCAAACAAACAACAATAAATATAGATTGGGACATGATCAAGACCTAATTATTTTTTTAAAAAGAACTAGACATATTAATATAAAAATATCCAAAAATCAGATCGAAATACGCAACACCCAAAGAATACCATATTTTTAAAGTTTGCACACTAATCTGCCAAGCATCGGATCACCTAGAACAACATGTGTTCAAACCATCATAACCCGAAATATACATCACTAAATACCAAACCCTTTCACAGAGAGCTAGATAAGACACAAAAAAACAATTTTTATTCTTACAACGTGTTCCATATCTAACCCTAAAGTCTCAAAATCAAGAGTGCAAAACAGATTTGTAGATGAACTTACTTAAATTTCCAGCTTGATCATCCGAATTTGACAAAGAAATGGGTTTTTCCTCCTTTTCTCTCTCTCTCAAAATGAGAAACCAGATGGGATAAGAAGAGATAATGATCAGGTAAGTAATCTTGATAAGGTTGTGAAGATATTTTGATAAAGTTCGTTTTGGTCCCTCAAGTTTTAGCTTGTTCATATTCTAGTCCCCCAACTTAGATTATATTCAATTGAGCCCCTATTTCTTCTTATTATTCAAAATACTTATTATCCAATACCCCACTAACATGTCATATGTAGATATAATTATATGCGTGTAATTTATAAGTATGCGTGCGTGCATGAACAATGTATGTTTTTGGGACGGGGTTATTACATTTATCATGTTGAATTCGGGGCATGTAAAAAACCTCACGCTTGGGTTATTATCGTTCCACAAAGTCCATCGAGGAGTTGGGAGTCCATATTTATAGTATCTCATAGGTGGATCATTGAGATATTCATATCGGGGCTTTTGAATGAACAATGAAGAAATATTTTTCATGTTATAGGGTTTTGTGTTTGATGATTTAGAAGAAGAAGACAAAGAATGGATGGGAAGCTATTAATTCTCTCCATCCCAATTGAAATTTCGAAGAAAATGACAAGACTTGTAGAAGATTTTGATAAAGACCTAGCTCGCTTTTTCTAACCCCGATCACCTCCAGTAGCCAAAAACCTAATCGAAACCTAACCCTTAAGAGACTATCTCATGAACTCTAACAACCATCTCATAAAATTGCTATCAATCTCTAAATTTCTCCCCTTTTCTCCTTTTCAATTAATCTTTTCCATTGCAACCTAGTTTTTTTAGGAGAAGAATTGAAAGGGGTAAGGCGAACGACATGATAATTCCTCTCGACTTTAATTAAAAAAATAAAAAATCAAGTAACAATCAACTGAAAGTTGATTTTTATAAATAACGAGGTTTGGATAATTTGGATCACATTGCAATCTCTAATGCTTTGGGATTCAAGTTACATAATTTCATACTTTGAGCCTCGAAATCGTCAAATTACAATATTTTAGAGGTAAAAAAATATTATGATACCTAGGGTCGCTTAGAGTAGAAGTTGAATAATGAGTGTAAATCTTATTTTCCAATCATGAAATAAAATAACCAATTAATCTTTAAGCACGGCTTTAAAAAAAAAAATCACCAATCACAAGTAATCATGTAAATCAGTAAAAAATGAACTATATCCATGCATAGAAAGAAAAAAAGAAAAGAAAAAAGAAACGTTGTTATTCGTTGTTTTCTAAACACAAGATTGTTGACATTTGCCATGTCACGCATTAACATTAAAATCTAACACCTTTAACGTTTCACGTCTAATTCACCTTAAAAAAAAAACACATTTTATGTCTAGATCTTTAATTTCATACCACACGATACTATTCACACGGTTTTAAAAAATAAAAATTTAATATGCACACCTCGTGCATAAATATAATAAACTAAAAGTATTTTATATGGACACGTAAATAAACATATGAAAAAAAGTACATTAAACATGTTTTTTTTTACAAATTTTTCGATGCTGGTTTGTTTTTCAACTCAACACGAATGAGTTGAAAAATTCACCACTTCATCATAACAATACAGTAAAAAAATGATATAACTAAAAGAAAACACGATTTTATAGGTGAGCATAAAAAAAAAAAGTTAATAGTTGATCGAGATTTTCTGGTACAATACAATAATATATATAAACATTTGGACGGTTAGAGTCATGGGGATATAGCTCACATGGTAGAGCGCTTGCTTGTCGCATTTGCATGCAAGAGGTGCGGGGTTCGATGCCCCGAATCTCCACTTTGCTTTCTGAACAAAAACAACCCGGGTGTTTTTTTTCTACTGACCTTTTCTCCCAACCGTTCAGTTCATTTATTTACACAACAGTAATTTTTTCCCGCGCAATAATTTCACCCCTTGTCCTTTTTTCCCCTTCTGCTTCCCACAACTAGGGTTTTCACAAACCATCGCCTAAAACAAACAAAAACAAAAAATCCCCATGGCCATGGAGATCTCTTTAGTAGCTCAGCTACTGAACGACACTCTTAACCCCGATAGCACCGTTGTTCACACAGCAACAGGATCTCTCGATGGACTCTCTCATTTCCCTCAATTTCCTTTCTCTCTCCTCTCCATTTCCACCGGTAGCACCACCTCCCTTCTTTTCACAACTTCTTTTAAAACTATCAATTGATTGATTGGTTGATGTTACTTTCGTTTTCTTTTTGTCCTCGCAGGAGGCGAAAATCATGGTCAAAGAGTCGCAGCTGCCACGTACCTTAAGAACTTCACTCGGCGAAATATTAATAGTGAAAATCGGAATTCAGAATCAAATGTCAGTAAGGAATTCAAGGACCAGCTTATGCGATCTTTGCTTCAAGTGGAACCTCCGGTTCTAAAAGTATTAGTTGAAACGGTACACACACTCGCCAGTCACCACTCCATTTCCTTTTTATTCTAATATTTGTTTTTCTCTCTTGTACGCGCATTAATTGTGGATTTTTTCTTTAAAAAAATGCTGCCAGTTTCGGATTATTATTGTAGCGGAGTTCGTTAAGCAGAATAATTGGCCAGAACTTGTACCTGAATTATGGTCTGCTATTCGAAATAGTAATCTAATTAGCAGCAATGCGAATTGTGAATGGAAAACTATCAATGCTCTTACGGTTCTTCAAGCGCTTGTTAGACCTTTCCAGGTACTTATTTATTAATTTCGCTTGTTGAAATTCGGATATGATTATTTTTGCATTCTGTCTTCAAGGACTATTAGTCATGTCATTTAAACTTGTAATGGTTATCTTTATTATCGGGCAGTACTTTCTAAATCCTAAAGTTGCTAAGGAGCCGGTGCCACAGCAATTGGAGCTAATTGGGAAAGAAATTCTTGTACCAATGTTAAATTTATTCCATCAACTTGTTCAAAAGGTTTTGTAATTCGCTTCCACTGTCTGTGTATGTTGATCATTCATAGTGATCGTTGGCATGAGTTTTCAAATGATGGGTTATCTTTCTATTAAACAGGCTTTGTCTACCCAGGGTCGAATAGAAATGGAAATGGAGAAGATACTTCTTATTGTGTGCAAGTGCATGTATTTCACTGTAAGTACCTTTTCATGTTCCCCAAATGCTATTTTGATTTTTGACAAATTGGTTCTTAAGATTCACATCATACATGTTACATGTCAGTCTGTTTTGTGTTAGCGAAAAGCTAGTTGCTACTTGTGCATAACCTGAACTCATCTGTAATTTCTCAACAAATTATTCTGACTAAATTGAACACAATGGCCTGTAATTTTTTCTTGCATATTATCCATCTGCCTTTTCATTTGACCTGTGTTTAGTTTTATAGGTGAGATCGCATATGCCATCTGTATTAGTTCCTCTCCTGCCTTCATTTTGTCGTAATTTGATCGGGCTTCTGGGTTCCTTGAGCTTTGATTATGGTGTTGCTCCAGAAGAACAATGCTTGTTACGATTGAAGACTGGAAAGAGGACTTTGCTCATATTCAGCACTCTGATTACTCGACATCGGAAGTATTCTGACAAGTAATAGACTGGATTTGACTTTATATTGCATTTTATTGTTATTGCACTTTCTTCAACTCTTTTTCTAACTCTAATTTTATAGGTTCATGCCAGACATTGTAAACAGTGCTTTGAAGATTGTCAGATGTAGCACAAACATCAGTGTGAGCTTTCTCTTGGTTTTACAAATTTGTTGTTGATGATCATTGCTTGGCAGCTGGCATCCACTTACGATACTGTTGCAGCTATCCCTTTCTTCCTCTTCTCTTTTTCTTGTCATCATAAGCACTATGCAGAGTCCTTAGATGCTTCTCTTGTCTCTTCATTTCACACTATGCGCATGCTCAGGCATCTATTAAAATGTAAATCCAGCTTGGCCATTGAAGAACTCTGATGCTGATACAAATAAATACATATGTGTAGACACAAACACACACGTACATTCATTTCTCTCTGTTCCAAGTTATCTATATTTTGTTGCATTTTTTTTCTAAAATTTGGTGGTTTGGTACGAGTTTTTACAATTCTCATCTTGACTTCTAGTTACTTCATAGATTTTGTTCATCCAATTTCTGCTTTGTTGGTCACATCAGAACTTGAAAAGTGGTAATCTCTTTATGCAGAAGCTTGATTTCCTTTCAGAGAGGATTATTTCATTAGCTTTTAATGTAATTTCAAACGTCCTGGAGACTGGCCCTGTAAGTTCTTTTGTGCATTTTGAATTTTGGCAAAGTAATATTTTAAGTTGTTTTTTCCTTAATTATTATTGTTATCATTATTATTTTCTAATTAGTTTTATGTTCTCATCGATTCTACTACTTTCTGGTCAGTAAATGGACCACTGGTTTGTTGTTGGTGTTCCTGGTTGAAATAAAAAATACAATTCCTTTTCTAAAATTCAGTTTCCTGGAAACAGGGATGGAGATTAGTTTCGCCACATTTTTCATTTTTATTGGACTCTGCAATCTTACCAGCGCTGGTCCTGAATGAAAAGGTGAGTTTTGTTTTTTTTTTTTTTTTTTACAATAACAAAAAAACTGTTACATTTCCTTCAGAAATTTTTTTTAATGTAATAACTTGATTTGGTTCTCTCTTCTTAATTTGTTATTGCGGCCTTTACAAGCAGGATATTTCTGAGTGGGAAGAAGATGCAGAAGAGTACATACGAAAGAACCTTCCGTCTGAACTTGTATGTTTATCAATTTATTCACTCTCTTAACTGTTTTGAATTTTATTATGTATTCATTTTAGTATGGGTTCAGGAAGAAATTTCTGGATGGAGGGAGGATCTGTTTACTGCCAGAAAAAGTGCAATGAACTTGCTTGGTGTTATTTCAATGTCGAAGGTTTGTAGTTGATGTTTCTCATATACTGTTTTAACCTATATTTTTTTGGTAAAATTATTCTTCAGTTTGTCTTTTGATGCCTGCAGGGACCTCCCACGGGGACTTCTAGCAATATTTCTTCAGCCTCATCCAAGCGTAAGAAAGGTGAAAAGAACAAGAGAAACAATCAGCGCTGTTCTATGGGAGAGTTGTTGGTGCTTCCATTTTTATCTAAGTTTCCCATTCCTTCCGACTTTAATGCATCTGAAGCAAGAATGATAAATGAGTGAGTTCATGATACTGTTTCATAGGCATTGTTATTTTTTGCTCATACTTGAAACTCCTTGATTGGTAACTTTCCTACTTCAACAATAGCGTGGCTTGTAAATTGAAATTGTGATTTTTGTGTGGTTTAGCGAAATAACATTGACACTATATCGACTTGCATGGATATGATTACACATCCATGAGTGAACATTGACTATGTCGAATATCAATGTTGGAATAGTATTCATCATCATTTTCTTGCTCTCATTCTGATATGTATCACTTTCTTTTATTATCTTCATATTCACATGTTTTCTTATCCTGTTTGTATATTAACCATGTCAGTTATTTTGGTGTTCTGATGGCATATGGTGGCCTGCAAGATGTAAGGAAATGGAATCCCACTTATCATTGACTAATGTAATGTTATTCAACGAGAGTCTGAAATTGGGTTTTTCTGGTATTGCCATTGGAAATACAGTTTATAAGGGAGCAAAAACCTGGATATATAACCACTTTGGTTAGAACTCGGCTGCTACCACTTTATGCGATACCTGCAAGCTCACCATATTTGATTGCTTCTGCAAACTGGGTTATAGGGGAGCTAGCGGCCTGTCTAACAGAAGTGAGACTCCTACTCATGCACTTTTGTAAAAGCAAAAGCAGCATTGACCTACACTTGTTCTTGTAATCTCAATTTTGCATGCCCTTTCTGCTTATTTTACAATATTCTTGAGCTCTGAAGTTCTTTTAACCTTTTAGTTTAACAATGTTAGATATCCCCCTTTGACTTTACACCTTGCTTTCAGGAGATGAATGCAGATGTATATTCCTCATTGCTTAAGGCGCTGGCAATGCCGGATGATGAGGACACTTCTTGTTATCCTGTGCGGATTTCTGCAGCTGGGGCAATTGCAGAGCTTCTTGAAGTAGGTCCAAATCAGCCACCTGATTGTGCAATGACATTCAGATTGGGATTCTGGTTTCTGACCTCAGTTTTATGTTTGATTTTCTCAGAATGACTATCCGCCACCTGAGTGGTTACCTCTTCTTCAAGTTGTGATTGGTAGGATCAATGTTGAAGATGAAGAGAGTTCAATATTGTTTCAGCTTCTTAGTTCTGTGGTGGAGGCTGGTGATGAAAGTGTTGCGGATCATATTCCTTTTATGGTCACATCATTAGTTGGAGCCCTCTCAAAATCTATACATCCTAGCATGGAAACATGGCCTCAGGTATGTATTGATTCTTGAAGCTATTCTTGTGGTTTGTTTTATCAGTTGTAATTCGTTTCTCGATCATTGTATTTCATACTTTCCTCTTGCAAAGAAAGTAAGAAGACCCTGCTTAGTCCAAATTTTGGCATATCACTCCATATGCTTCATCCACATGAAGTGAGCGCAAAATAGCAAAGAAAGAGTTTTTGACAAGATGCTATCCTCAATCAATTTCTTTGTTATGTTATTTGATAGCGCTGATTTAAGTTCATTATCAAGTGCTGGTCCTGCTTCAGCTGAGACCTGGAGACCTGAATATGCTCGTAACTGTCAACATTTGTGTATCGAGTCGCTCACTACACTTGGAAGCCATTCCCTCTGTTATGCTTTGCCATCTTTTGCCCATATGCTAGTCTGCTTCCATGAATGCATTTCATTTTCTTCGATTTATTGGCATTGCTCAAGGATACTACTGACAAAGCTTCCTGTATATATATTCTGTGTTTGTGTAGTATATGGTTATGCAATTAGTTGCTTCACAAAATGTGGGCCATTACCCACCAGAGGGTAGATTGCTTCACAGCATGTCCATTTACTCATGATGTTTAAAAGTGTGAGAATGTCATAAATGGTACTGGTTACTCAAATTATGTGTTTTGAAGTGCAATTCTTTTCATTAATTAACACTGTACATTATAGGTGGTTGAAAGAGGCTTTGCAACATTAGCAGTGATGTCTCAATCTTGGGAAAACTTCATACCTGAAGAGACTGAGCAGATTGAATCAAGTGAAAAGTGGGTATGTGGTCGAACTGCCATCGGTAAAGCGTTTTCAGCACTGTTGGAACAGGCTTGGCTTGCTCCCATGCATCCAGTGGTAAGTCTTAGTTTCTTTCATTGTTCTGGGAGAAACTTAACCAAATGTCTCTTGCTTTAAGAGACTAAGGAAATGATTTTTGTCATGTTTTCTCATAAGTCACGAACAGATTATAGTTTTTGAGTGCAAATTTCAGGATATGCTTCCTTGTTCAGCTTTGGGTCAACTGTTTTTCACTTGTCCTTTACCCTGACTTTGTGCCCACTTCAGAATGGTTCACTAGTTTGTGTTTTTTGCTTATGACCACATTTGTATGACACTCGATAACCTTCTGCAAGCAATTGCTGAATTTTACTCGCAATGAGTATTTGTTTCTCTCTCTCTCTGGTTTTTTTTTTTTTTTTTTTATCCATTTACTCATCCTTGAAACTTTATAAGGATCAGGATGGTGAGGTGCGACCCACTCCAACATGCTTAGATGATTCTTCGACGCTGCTACAATCTGTTATGCTATCTGTTACTGGAAGCAATGCAATTCAACAGCTTAAACTATCTGAATTGTTGCTGGTTTGGGCTGATCTGATTGCTGACTGGCATGCTTGGGAAGAGTTGGAAGATTTGTCAGTCTTTGACTGCATTAAGGAAGTTGTTAGTCTACACAGGAGATATGGGCTGGAGAATTTTATCGTTGGACAGATGCCATCACCTCCCGCCCCACCAGTGCCACGGCAATCTATCATTGAAGGCATTGGTGCTTTTGTAAGTGAGGCCATCTCACAATATCCATCTGCAACTTGGAGGGCTTCCTCGTGCGTTCATATACTACTAAATGTTCCAAGCTACTCATTTGAGGCTGAAAATGTGAAGCAGTCCTTGGCAACTGCTTTTAGCCAGGCTGCATTTTCTCGTTTTAGAGAAATTCAAAGCAAGCCCTGTTCACTGTGGAAACCTTTGCTGCTTGTTATATCATCATGCTATTTGTGCTATCCTGACACCGTGGAGGCCATTTTAGAGAGGTATGCAGAGGGAGGCTTCACAATTTGGGCTTCTGCTATTGCTTTTGTGTGCTCTGGCTCTTTCGAGCCTGGTCTTTCAACAAACTCCGAGATAAAGTTAACAGGTTAGTAGGTTACTATTGCCTTTTATTTTTATTCTTTCAGAATGGCCTTGCTTATCTTCTCTTGAATGCAAAGGAAATCGAGTCTCTTACAAATTGTACATGATTTTAATCGATAAATCAAATTGCTGTTCCTTTGTATTCTCGTGTCACTTAAATTTGTTTTAATTCACCACATGTTCTTAAAATCTCCCTTGGGTTTGGATATATCTGACTGAAGCTGAAGTTGAGAGTGTCAAATGCATTCTTTCTGACTACACAACTCTACTGTGCTTCTTCTTCTTCTTCTTCTTTTTTCCCCTCTGTCTTAACTGTTGATTTAGAAAAAAGAACAAAATTCAGGGTTGTTGTTCCCATTGCAGCTTGATGCTAGTTTTTAACTATTGATAAATAAAAGTTCGTTGCATTCTCAGATTAGAAAATTTAGAAAACTCTTGTATGCCGAACATCAAACGCATGCTAAATGTTGTTGATTCTCAGCAATGACTTTGGTCAAGGTGATTGAGGGATTGTTAGGACAGCAGAATTCAGGGGTTGGTTTGTCAAGGGACTGCTTTAAATCATTGATGGAGGCATTGGTAAGGTTGAAAGAAGTGCAGGATGAAATGGAGGAAGATGAAGAAGACAGAGAGGCCGAAGAAGATGATGAAGATGAAGATGACGACAGCGATGAGGTTAGACTTCCAAATTATCATTTATGAATATAGTTTTCTAAGGGATGCCATATTTTATTTCCAACTGTATCCACTGAGAAGGGAAAAGAAATCTATCAGTTACCTGAGTTACTTGATTAATGTTTATAGCTGTTGTTTCTATTAGCTGATGACTTTGCTATAAAGTGATGAATCATGCTGAAAAACTGGATTTTCCTGGGGATTATGCTTGTTATCCATCCAGTCACGAGTACATTATTCCTTTCTACATCTTGTAATCATTTGCAAGTTTAGCCTCATTTTGTTTTTCTGATTAGGATTCTGAGGGGGATGAACTTGAAGAAACTGAAGAGGAGTTTTTGGAAAGGTATGCAAAAGCAGCCACTGCCTTGGAGAATGGTACGGTTGTTGAAGAGGGAGATGTGGAAGATCAGGAGCATGAAATTGAGCTGGGTAAGTCTACCTATACATTGTTCTGTAGAAAATATAATAATGCAAGATATTCTTGTCAAAGATCAGTTGGAGGCCACAGAATTGTTGGGAGCATATTGTTTTTCTTTTATTCTTCCACACAAGATTGAGATGTTGGAACTAGCTGATTAGATTGACTGTCTGTATCTTCTGAAAGTTATTAGGCATTAACATTTAGTCAGATTCTGACTTAGTTTTTACTATTTTCTTTTTTATAATCTATTTAGTAAATGGTTCTAGTCCTTCGGAGAGCAACATATCAGCAACTAAAGAGAATTCTTCTTTGGTCTCCAATAAAACTTGTCAGATCATCTATTAGTGAGAAGTTGAAGAAACTCCCAAAATATCGCCATAAATAATCTGATTTGGCAAGTCACTTTTAGCTGTATTTATCTACTTCGTTTGCAGTTTTGCATCATTTTATGGTTGTCCTTTGTAACAAGTTAAGACAGGACCATTATTACTGTGTTTTGCTGCATTTCTTGGGTTCACTGTCTCATGCATTTATGTTTCTGTGCAACTTTTGCAGACATTTCAAGTCGTTTGCTGTTTTTTGTGGTGGCTTGCAGGTTCTTTGGATGAAGTAGATGAGGAGAAGGTTGTTTTGTCATTGATAGAGAGGTTCCACCATGTCCTCATACAAGGGCATGACATACCATCCCATGTCATCTCAAGTTTCCTGAATGCCTTTCCGAATTCTAGCAGTTTCTTCCAACAATAGAGAGTACAGACTCGTTACAGGAACAAGGGTAGGATTTTCTGACATTGAGAGTTTTGAGTTGTCCACGCATATTTTGTTGGTTTGCTTGATATAATTGTCCCATCTCTCAAACCCTAAACTCATGATTGAGATTCATAATTATGTTGTAAAGTTTCTTTTTTTTTTTTGATGAATATACAGATCATATTTATTATCAAAATAGAGAGAGAAAACTTAAGTGGCCATCAAGCAAATGACACCCGAGCAAAACAGAAACAAGCAGTAGAAAAACAACATTAGGGAAAAGAACAGAGCCTGCTAGGAACATCAAGACCAAGCAATTCTATAGTATGGTAGCATAGCTGGTTTTTTGTTTTCCCTTTGCCTATTTACTGCAAAGGTGATTTTGTATATTTCAATTGTTTCTCCTTCAATTATAATTAATGATGTCATGTTACTACTTGAAATGCAAATAATAATCAGTTTCAATTTAGGGATTGGACAGAAAATTTCATAATAAAGGAAATGTTATCAATACCTTAAAAGAATCTTTGCAGAAACTCCATATATGATTAATTACGCAATCTTTTACAGGAAGCAATGCAAGTCAACATCCCAAACTATCTATAAGTTTTGTTAGTTTGGGCTGATCGGATAACTGGCATGGTCGGGAAAAAATTGCAGTAGTTATCAGTCTTCGGCTGCATTTCGGAAAACCGAAAAAGACCCAATCATTTGTTTAGGCCCTGAGTGATTTTCGCTAAAGCTCCATTTTTTGGCCTATATCCAGGGAGCCAACACATGATTAGGTTAAAAAACCTTTGATCTCCTGTCTGAAGTTAACAAAGAAAGTTGAGTGACACAAAGAAGACGCGTTGGGCACATTAGTCTATCTTGACAATCTTGCAGGCACTTTATGCATGACCCTTTTTTCATGAACTCTAGCAACCCAAGGGGTTGCCTACTTCAGCATATAAATGGAAACTACTTTGATTCCATTGCACTCATAATTAAAAGAACAGAAAAATCATGGAATATCATGATTCAACTTTTGTGTTTCATCTTGCAATGACATTGCTCTTCTTCTTCCTTCCATTCCTCGTCTACTGTGGTGAATATCCAGGTATCCAACAAATTAATCGATGCACTCTGCAAGGAAACATCAAACCCGGAATTCTGCAGAAATACTCTCAAAAGTAACTCAGAGACCAAGCAAACAGATATGGATGAGCTTGGAATCATTACTGTCATGTCGGCTACGGCACAGGCAAGATTAAACAAGTATATTGTCAAGTCCATCCTTCAAAATGAGAACGATGGAGTAACGAAGGACAAGCTCTCTACCTGCCAAATTGATTATGAAGTAACATTGGGCAAGCTAAAGAGTGCCTACAGGTCATCTTATATAAGGGCATGGGAAGATTGGTGAATGATGCAATGAAGATGGCAAAAAAATGTGAAGATGTTTTCAACAGACCACCAGCTCGTCCATCTCCTCTAACAGACCTTGACCAGGAAATAGTGTGGCTTATTAACATTGCACTGCTAACTCTAGATGTCCTTGACGGGTGATCATAGGACACCACAAGCTCTCTGGCTCCAACTGCGCCTAGCTGAAAATAGTCTGCCGAATCAATAAATGGGCTACGGCCTACAATAAAATGGATAGTTCTTGTTTTGGAATCTATTAAATTGTTATTGAAATTTATTTATATAACAATAAAATAAAAACATTTAAATCTCATCATCAGATCCTGAATCGAGTATAGAAAATTGACATCCCAGCATGTCTAATGCACATTGCGGGTGAACATCAGAGTGAAGGAAACCAAGCCCGGTAGAGAAGTTCTATATTTTACGTTGGAAAAATCTAACCATTGGTGCACTCGGTCATTCAATTTCATTAGGACAAGATATAAATCACTAGTTGGCACTAGTTGGATTTGGATGACATTCAGCCAAAATAAATTGAACATTTAGTAACCAAGCCCGTGCAGGGTTTTATCTCAAGCAGCTGATTAAGACATAGGTCTCCTTGAATTAGTCATTTGTAAAATTCAAATGGCAATGTTCAAAGTGCACCATACATTAGACATTCCATGCTTCTCCAGACTATTGCAGCGACGGAAGATGAATATGTATCATAAATTGACTGAAACTCAATTATTCAGAATATATTCTGATGCAAATGCCAATGGTCTACACAATGAAGTTAATTAAAAAGACAACCAGAGTACTGATATAAGAAATATAAATTTATAAAACAACTCGTGAGAAAAGGAGGGGAAAAAAATGGCGGCAAGATCTACAACCCAACATGAAATGCTAGCAGGCATTGTTGAGAAAATTTCAACTCCAGTCCACTAAGCCTGTAATTTAAAAAACGTGAATTAGAGAACATAACAGAAAAAGGACGACAGTTAGCAGAAAGTGAACCATAGGAAACTATACAGATCAAAGCAAGTTCTAACGGAAGCAAACGAAGAATATAGGTGTTATTGTGGCATACTTTGCTAGCAATGTTGTTTGAGAGCCAGTCCAATCCTTCATAAAGCCCTTCTCCTGAAGTGGCACATGTGCTCTGGATATACCTGCAAAACATCAACAAAAATTACATACTTACTTACGTTTGTGCAGAGAAATCAAGGTGTAAGAGATGGTTCAAAAAAAAAAAACGTGGAGAGCAAGAAAACATTTGCTTCCGAATTTGCATTCCTCCAAAGAAAAATGTATGCATTTTGTAGGTGGAGGGAGTGAGCAGGACTACATTGAAGACTCACATCATGAATAACGTGTGTCCATGCTTTATGCCCCCTCTTAAGGGTAATTCTAAATTTGTGTTTTTCATGTTTGTCGGCTTATGTGCATGGAGATAGAGATAAGTGAGAGAGACTCAGAGAGTACTATCAACTTTACCAATGGCGTTGTCTTAGAGAATGAAGACCAAGCTTATCAGTAATCTCAGCAGCATTCATTGCATTTGGAAGATCTTGCTTATTTGCAAACACAAGGAGCACAGCATCCCTCAGCTCATCCTGCCCAGAAAAAAAAAAAAAGAAGTAATATTATATACTCAATCCTAGCACGTCTCTGCATATAGGTTTATGCAAAGTTATCATCTCATTAATTTGAGTAGCATAAATGGGAAGACATGTCTGCCATAACAAAATCTTAAATGTTGAAATATAAGCAAACATTGACACTCTCAGTACCTCATTCAACATCCTGTGCAGCTCATCTCTAGCCTCACCAACTCGATCTCGGTCATTGCTGTCAACAACAAAGATAAGCCCTTGCGTGTTTTGGAAGTAATGTCTCCATAGAGGGCGAATCTGAAATCACGCATAAATGAAATTACAAAAATGCATAGTGTAAACCACTTCATTTTGTTAATCAAAGATACAAAAATATAAGTTGAGTTCAACAATGGACATGCTCTGAACAGGTCACACGTTTACTAATCCAACCAAAAGGAAATAGAACATGTATTCACAAGCAAGGCCATTTATCAACAAGCCCATGGATGAAAACACACATCAATGACAGTGATCGATCATCTTTCACCTAATAAACCAAATAAAGTGACAATATTAGATCTATTCAACATGCCAAATCTATTTTGCCTCTCTCAGCCATGCCTAAGACTCAGATACAATACGAGAAATTAGAAATCAAACCATGCACATCAACCATGGTTTTTACCACGGAATGCATATACATCCACACAATCCTAGCATATAATTATTACAAGCAGAATGCACGACAATACTTTTCCAATAAACACAGAACAACATCATGTATGGCGATCCAACAGCTAGAATCCACACAAGACGCTCATAGACAACCAACAAACCCACACAAAACTAAAACGAATAAAGCAAGATAACCCAGACATTAAAATGTAGACAACAAAAAAATAAATCGATGGCATGTAAATTACCTTATCTTGACCACCAACATCCCAAACAGTGAAGCTAATATTCTTATATTCCACGGTTTCCACATTAAATCCTAACAACATAAAACACAGAAGATCCAAACAGATCAGCCAATTAAAACCACCAATAAAAAGAAAAAAGGAAAGGGGTTATCGTTTGTAAATAATTACCAATGGTAGGGATGGTAGTGACAATTTCTCCCAACTTGAGCTTGTAAAGAATTGTGGTTTTACCAGCAGCATCGAGACCTACCATCAGAATTCTCATTTCTTTCTTCGAAAACAATCGGCCAAGTATTTTCGAGATTGAGAGCCCCATCTCGCCTTTCCCTGAATTGTTGCTATTATCTTTCTGTCACATTCGAAACACAGAATTCAATTTTAAGTTTCAACAGATCCAGATCTAATGCAGGAAAAGAAATAAATGATGCAATGCATGCGTTTATTCTGAGATCTAAAATGAGAAGAGAGATTGAGAGTACCGTGAAATTGAGGAGAGAGAAGTTTTGAGATCTGATTTTTGAAGAAGGTGCGAAGAGAAATGCGTTTCTCCTTTGCGTCACTCTTGTGTGTTTATAAAGGATGACGCGAAAATCGGGGTTAAAAAGTAACAAACAAGAAAACACGGTTTTTCGAATTTCAATTTTTGGTTTTTATTTCGGGGCGCGGAGGGAGTCAACGGTCAGAATTGTGGTCCCCTTGAAAGCTTAGCTTACAAGGATGCGTTTGGTTTGGTGGGTAACTTCTCGTTGTTGTGGGGTTTAAATCTTACACAGAAGACATGTCCAAATGGACTATCTCTCTCTCTCTTTTCCACCTAGCTTTCATAGATTTTTCAGATCTTGCCGCAAAGAGCTTCATGGTTGATTACGGTGAAAAAGAATTTGTATCCTTCTTTGATTTTCTTGATACAAATTTTGGAATTTGTATCCTAATAAATTTAATATTTTTTTCTAAGTACATCCACACAGTACGAGAGTATATTATTCATATTATTTGGAATTTTATTTTTTATTTTTTTTATCTAGATTGACAAACAATTGAATCCATAACTTTTTATCATTAAAAATAAGAGTAATTGAATCATATTTGATGTTATCATTTTGGATACCCCAAATCAAGATAAGAATGTAGAAAGAAATGCGTGGCTTGTCCGTACTTCGAATGAGAATTTACCAAGTTAATATCGGAAAGCGAAAGAATTCCATGACTACCTCAACATTAACACAGCACCTTTGCAGGGGTTTGGAGAAATCCACATGCTCCAAATAGAATAAATGGAATAGATCCCTACCACATTTATGTCACTTCTGATATAAAATATGATCATTTTAAACGAATTAAATAAATAGTCTCTCTTATTTTAAAAATTAATTAATTAATATCATTTTATTTTTTAAAAAAATCTTATTTTCTCATCTATCTTTCCATATTTTTTATTTTACAAAAATAAATTGAAAAATAAAAAAATTTAATAAATGGATTAAAAAACATAAGTACTAGTTAATTAAAATTTGAAACAAGAAAAATCATTGAATTTGTTTTGCTAAAAACATTAGGAATAAATTTATAATTTACCATTGGTTTTGCTGATGAAAGAAAAACAGTGCGTTTCTGTACCCATACAAAACTAGAAGCACAACATATCATGTAGGCAGGGCCAGTGAAATCGTTTGACACGTAAATAAATAAATAAATGGTCCACAAGCGTTTATTCATGTGTTTCTAGAAGATTTCTTCAAGGCCAAAGATTCCTACGCACAAATTAGGACCCCCCTCCATACCATACAGCCATACGCTACCTTTTGTTTCTATATTTAATTGCCCTCCAAAACATTTGCACGATGAGCTGTCCTTGCCACAATTTCCTTTACGTGGACGGTCACAGACACAGGGTACTTGTCAAATCCTAGAAATTCTCCTGTCCGCAGAAAATGATACTTATAAAATAATGCCAACCATATTTATATAGGTGCAAGTTTAGAGCACAAAATGCACGTACGGCTTTGTAGGCTACTTGCTAGGCTGGAATTTTGAATCCTCGTTTCATTCTTTTACCCCTTTGGCCCCCATATATAGTCACGTCTGCGGTGTGCCCAGTAATGATTCGTGCTATTATTTTTGGGCACACGATATATCTAACTATTCAACACATTCAAGAAAATAAATCAAATAAGAATGCAGCATATATATTTAGAGTTGCAAAAGGGAAAGGCCAAAGGGTAAAACTGAGAGAACACCTTCTCGTCAGAAAAATTAAAGAGAAGGACCAATCTCCAAGGAATGCTACCCAAACCTGACCTAACTGTGTCAACATTGCCTCGTGTAAAGATTTGCGATAACTTATCCACCTTGAGCTTTCATCCTTGCTTGATAGATAATCTCTCTAATACAGCAATCGAGTAATTAGCTGGTATTTATTTGAATGTTCTAATAAGCAGAATTGTGGAAGGGCAGATTCAGAACAGAAGTAGCACGGATATTAAATAAAAGTAATGTAACAAGTGAGAGGTTTTTAACCGACACCATTTAATCAAAAGAACAGCAGCATCTAAACAAGATGCCTCATCAGGAGGTGCTTATACTTCTGGAAATTTTTTTGAATTGCTATGTTTACCGACAAAATTGACTACAACTATTATTCCAAAATCAAGACCAGTGACATCCATTAACAAATTGAGTGAAATGATCCCTCCCCGTCTCAAAACAGGAAAAGCGAGGACAACGGAAATTGTAAAATGATTTTTTTACAGTCCCATATAAGGAAAAATCTATAACCAAAAGCATGAATGAAGGAATATATGCAGAGGACCGATAACAGTGGATTTCAGTCTAAAAGATCAAAGCAGGTGCACAAAATGCCCAACTATGAAAATGCTTATGAATTGTTCTATCATCCATACTAATCTGCCCGTCATCAAAAGAAAAACTTGGGAAAGGGACTTACTTATCAGTTCATAGGTAACGATCATTGTAGTTCCATAGAACGACATGTTTAAGAAACGAGGTCCAAACCCTCTGTAGAAGCCCCACCATCCATCTTCCTTGAGGAGAGTCTTCGTTGTCTTGAGTACAGAAGGTCTTCCAGCACCATAATTATCCATAACCTTTCAGATATAGGATTCTCATGTTTACAGTAGCTCCAAATATAACCATACCAATTAAGTTCCAAATCGCACAGCATTTGAATAAAATGAAGATGGTTTTTCCTCCTATCGACATAGTAATGCAATATAAACAGTGAATGGTAGTATGGTACACATGCGTACCTGCAGCCGTGTCTTTATGGTATCCACAGGAGTAGTGATAATTGAGGAACAAGCACCAGCCACTGTTCCTGCTGTAGCCTGAACTGTCACCATTTCCAGATGAGATGGCTTCTTGTCCGTATCATCCCTATAACCCATGCTCCTAAAAACGATATATTTCAGTATCATTTAACATCTCAGTCAGAAATTGGTGGCTTAGATAGCATAAAGAGATCACAAGAATTGTTAGATGCACCTCCAAATGATGTGCTGGGCAGTACCATAAGTACCCCACCAAAGTGCAGATGCCGGTGACTGGGTTACAGCTGTTAATCCAAAACCTCTAAATAAACCACGAAACCCTTCAGTCTTTATCACTTTACGCATGACATCAAATGGCCCATTATAAGATGTAGCCCCAGGAAGCCCTTGCACCATTAGTCTTTGGCATATCTGAGAAAAAATGGCATAAGATTCTGAGGACATTATGAGACAGCACCTAATGAATTTGTTTTTTAAGTCAATCTTCTACTTCTCTCATGGTACAATCTTCTTCTCACTGCTCAAACTGCAGCACAAAAAGCTATTTTTTACAGTACAGGATCAAGGAAATTTGCAGAGTACTGTAGAGGCAGAACTCATATATGATAAACAGAGGCAATGAAAATGGGGGTCAAAGATAGGTCTACAAACTTCATGCCAATGCAACTTGCAACTTGTAACAAAATTCCCTAGTATCTGCAACCATAATTCTACGTATAAACTAATACTGAATTGTTCCTGTTCTGAAACATTAATTTATTAGGTCATTTTTACAACTTCCTAGGCCGTCTAGAATGTAAAGTGTAAACTAAGAATGTTAGACCACTTGTAACATAGGTTAATAGACATTGAAATAGACACTCTCTTTTTATCTGGTTCTCTCTATCACAGGATAAACCGTGAACAACATATTCGGCATCAAGCTTTTTAGGCATATATTGATTTCAAACAGTGGACATTAGGTGCCAAACTATGATCACATTTGTGCTTTCTCGATTAGAGTAACTCAAACTATAGGACGGATGTTTGTCTATATTCTAACCTAACCCACCGTAAAACAATTCCCACAAAAAAAAAAATAATAAATAAATAAATCTCAGAATCATCATGATATTGTCTCTGGATTACCAAAATATACCGTTATTGACATCAAGGCATTACATTTCAAAAGATGTTTCTTCTTTCCAATTGAGTGGTAAATATTTAAAGACAAAAAAACTCAGAAAACTATAAAAAGAGAAGCCATTTACATACCACATCCAAGGGCACATAGTACACACAAGAAACTAGGTTTGACAGCATGCCTGCAACTCCATTTGCAATGCCGATACATGTTGCTTCAGGCATGTCTAAACCTTTGGTGTATTTCAACATCATATCTTTTGACACTTCAAGTGCTGTCAAATAAAGAACTCTACCAGGCAATGCTCCAACAGCAGAGGTGCCAAAACCTCGAAAAAGACCTGGAATACCATCATTCCTCAATATGTGTTTAGCTACAGATACTCCACCCATGTGAGAGAGCCCAGAATCTGCTACTTGCATTCTAGTCTTCACAACTGCTGTTGGATGCAGTAAGCCTTGCTGAAAAGTAAAGAGGGCAGCACCAATAATATGAAATTTTGTCTTGTCCAACCTGAATCAAAGCCAGTAAATTACAAAAAGCGATAGTTTCAATTTAGTAAAAAAAATAGTAGTACCAATGATTGACACAAACAGTAGAAAATCCACGAAATTAAGAAATAATGGTAAGGAAAAATATCTACGCAACTCATCATTGAAGAACTAAATAAATTGTGAGTTCAAATGCAAGCTCACTTTATGTTTACTAAAAAGGAAATGAGGACAGGAGGGGACACGGAGGGGACATGGAGCATTGCCAGCTACTCGATGCCACAACTCAGGATTACTCAAATAAAGGCACGAGGGTGACAGAAAGCACCCGAAGAGCAAAAATACACACTACTTCCAGCTCAAAAACAAACTCTAATCAATTTCTGGATGCTACAAAATTTATGACCGAATGGTTATGTGGCTGAGCCTGTCAATGAATTCAGACCGATTGTCAAAATCCATCAAACGAAAATGCTTGACAGGAGAGGATGGGAATCCTTTCATGTAATAGAACACCATGATCAGTTAATCAATGTAATTGCTTAAAATAATTATACAACAAAATAGATACAAATCAAATACTTCCACAAAATAACGAGATTGAAAAACTTCGATGGTTTTTGTGTGTGCGCGCGCGCGTTACAAGGCCAGCCGTTACTATTCGAATGCCACCTCAAGAGAGATCGCAGTAGTATTTTCAACATTACAACAAAAGCACTAGAGCAATAAAAGCAGGCATACATAATAGCCAAAATCAGTGATGATCAAGATGAAACTTAAAACCCAATAATTATTAAGAGTGAAAAAATGCGCCGACCTGCCCCAATTGATGTCAGTATCAGCAAGAGCCAATTCGGGAACAGCTGCAGCTTCGGTTTCGACAGCCATTAGTCAACTTCAGATTTTCACACTGTTTGCAAATGATGTCTGGGCAAGTGAGAGACTGAGAGAACGTTTTAGAAGGCAAGCAGCTGCCTGGCCGTGTTGGTCTTCAAGTGGGGAAGCGTTGGCGGGGTATTTTAAGACTGAGGGAGAACAATTGGGAAAGTTCCAGTGAATTTGGGTCCTCGGTCATTAAAAATACGGCAAAATTTTCCTCGATTTAGGGAAGCCGACTGGACCCTGGTAAATTGGTGATGGTTTGTTTGTGGACTGTCTCTTAACTTTGCTGACCAGCCCAAATGTTTGTTTTGGGCTTTCTAGTTGAAAGAACTATCTTTATGGCCCATCTAGTACTTGATGGATTCAATCCTCAATCAACCTAGCACCTATTCTTTTTCAAAAAAAAAAAATTATTATTATTTTTTATTTTTTGTGGTGCAGAAGAGGAAGAGAAAACAGGACTGGGGAATGACAAAAGCAACACCACTACTATCGACAAGGAAGGAGAGAATCCTCAGGATCAGGAGGAGGAGCAGGGCATAAAATCTCAGCATGGTTTGACGGGAGCACGTTATAGCCATAAATCATGGATGCCTAAAAGAATCTAACCACCCCTTGAACTCTTAAGTAATTTTAAATTAAATTTTAAATTTTTTTATTAGTTTTGAAGACTTTAAAGTTTTTTTTTTTTTTTTTTCAGATTGAGTCCATTCTTTAATTTTTTGTTATTTATGTAAAAAAATAACAATCACATCAATAGTTTCATAATCAAAATCATTCGAGTAAAATTTATATAAAGCTCCTATAAAAAATTGGTGTCATTTCATAATTATTTTTTATTTTTTTATTTTTTATATTTTTAATGTTCAAAAAATAAACAAATCTAGTTTCTAGTTTTGAAAAATTTAAGAATTTTTTTTACAAAATGGATTGAATTTTTTCCAACTTTTATGCAAAATCTTAACTCAAAATACCAATAATTGAATTTTTTTAAAGAGAAAAATGATAGTTGAAGATCATTAGATAGAATATATATATATATATATATAAAGGTTCGGAAATCTTTAAAATTAATTAATAAATAAAAAGTTAAAAAATTCAATTTCAAATGACTTAAGATTCAAAAGTGATCAATCTTTTTTAGCCATAATAGATATCATTGACAATATTCCAATGGAGATACCGGTGATCACATGTAATCAAAATAATGTTGGTGGTCGTTAGAGAATAAGAATTCAACCGGGAGAGAATTAAAACCTAAATCATAAACAATAAAAAGGCCACCACAAATAGCTAGGAGCTTAACAACAATATTAGATGTTTGCCCCGTGTAACAACCATATCGGTGCCACAGATTAATCCCTTCCTAGACGTAGTTAAGAGGGTATTCCTCAACGTATGGTCCGAAGTATTATGAGAATAAATTATCATGAGCACCTCAAGACTAATCATTTCCGAACATAGCTAAATGATACTTTCTAACACACGACTTCGGATGTTCTAAGAATAAATTTTCATGAGTGCGACCATAAGGATCGAACTCTAGACTTAGCCTATAAATCGATGCTTGTTTACTAACGGGCTACTATGGTTTGAATTGGGTTTTTTAATATTTAAAATTTGATCGGTTTTACATGAAATTCAATTGATTATAATCAATATAGTTCATATGGTTTGGGAACTATTGTGTTATTTTGTCGTCCAATCCATAAACAAAAGGATGACTTACAAGACAAAGCTAGAGAAGGATATCTTTTATGGATCTACCTAAATAAGAACTTTGAATGTGATTATAATGGATTTTTTGAATCATTTGAAGATAGATCATTTTCAATTAAGACTTTTCTTAGACCAACGTCTTTTAAAACAATGAGATCATGCAATAAAGCATAGGCTTGAACAACTTCTACACTCATACATGGAAGTGTGAGCATCTTGTAGCATAAACTATGGTATGCCCTTCATAGTCCCTAATTATGATTACAAGTAGGATATTTAAGATCTCAACATCGGGTAATCTATTTTTGTTCACCGAAATTATATCAATAATATAGTTGACTATTAAATAAGAAAAGAAAACCTTTAAATTAGCTATGCGAGTTATCATCTAGCTCTTAAATTGTGGCAAACTATAAATATTCATATATCAAGTATTTATCATTTCAAATACTTTTTGACTAGATTTTTTAATCCACATCCATTAAAAATGTGAAGTGTAGTCGGATTTTGCTATTTTCTATATCCAATTTATTTTTTCAATTTATCTCGTATCATAACCTAACCTAACTCATGAAATCACAAAGACCAAAAGAATCAAACGAGGTGAGAGATAAATTTATCACAAATAACACGAGATGGTCCCAAGTTAAGGAGTTAATCACAATTTCAGCATACAAAATTATTAATTTTTTCTAATCAAGTGCATATTTTTTTAATCTTGATTAATTAAGTGACCCAAGTTGCAAAATATTTTATAATCATGTGTCTACGAGTTACTTTAAACTTCTTTTTTTGTTCGAGATCTAGTCCATTTTTTAATTTTTTGTTATTTATCTCAAAAAAATAACAATCACATCAATAGTTTCATAATATAAATCATTTAGTAAAATTTATGTAGGGCTCTTAAAAAAAATTGGTGTCATTTCATAGTTATTTTTTTCTGTTTTTAATGTTCAAAAAATAAACAAATCTAGTTTTTTATTTTGAAAAAATCAAGAATGTTTTTGCAAAATGGATTGAATTTTTTCCAACTTTTATGCAAAATTTTAACTCAAAATACCAATAATTTAGTTTTTTTAAAGAGAGAGATGACAGTTGAAAATCATTAGATAAAATAAATTTCAAAAAATTAAAATTTCAAAAATCTTTAAATCAATAAAAAATTCAATTTCAAATGACCTAAAGTTCATGAGTGGTTAAATTTTTTAAACTATATTGGATATCGTTGACAATGGTCTAGTGGAAAACTATAAATATTCATATATGAGTATGTACCCTTTCAAATACTTTTGAATTAGAGTTTTCAATCCGCATTCATTAAAAATACAAACTATAGTCGAATTTTGTTATTTTTTATATCCAATTTATTTTTTCAATTTATCTCACATCATAACCTAACCTAATTTGTAAATTCACAAAGGCCAAAGAGAATTTATTTTTTCAATATATCTCACATCATAACTTAACCTAATCTATGAAATCACAAATACCAAAAGAATAGAAAGAAACGAGTGATAAATTTATCTTAAATAATAAAGATGGTCCCAAATAATTTGTGAAATCACAAATACCAAAAGAATCGAAAAAAACGAGAGATAAATTTATCTCAAATAATACGGATGGTCCCAAGCTAAGTGAAACTAAAAAGATTTAGACAAAATTGTGTTCGTAATAAAAAAAAACTCAAGAAAAACGAAAAACATATCATAGTTTATGATAAATTTTATCGTTGTTTACAAAAGTAGAGATGAAAAGGCATGTTATAGTTTATGACAAATCACAATAGTTGTCTTGCATTGATTTGAAGACGAGCACACCTTACTAATCATGGATCTATTTTTCAATCCCTTTATATGATAAAATTTATCTATCTTTAAAGAATGACTTATTATATCATAAAAACATAAACTTTACACATTTTAATAATTTTGGCACGTTCTTTCAAAAGTGAATGAAAAATACATGAATCGAGTTCGATAATCATTTTAGCACGGGGGCATTTTTCATCCAAAATTTTGAATTCATATGACGTGGCATGACATGTAGGATGCCACCATGAATTACGATCCATATAAGATGTCACGTGGCAAAAAAAAAAAAATGAAGGTTGTTAAGACAACATGTCATCCACTAATCCTCATATGATTTCAAAAACTAATTCTTCACAATACAAACCCAAATCAAATCATAAAATTCCTAATTTTCTTCTCTTATCTTCCCAAAGAAGAAGAACCCATTCTTGTTGTTACTTGTACTTATGAGCCCAAAAATAGATATTGTGAGTTCGTGAGTTCTCCATCGAAAAAAGGATGCATACCAAAAGGTTTGTTATTTATAATCTGCTATATATTTTTTGTTCTTTAGTTTGTCAATTTTTAGATTCACAAAACAAAATAAAATAACCTAGTGCCGCCAACAACAAAACTTCATGTTTGATTCTCAACCAATAGCATATGCCACCCATCTTGACCCTCGCCTAAAAATTATTATTGGATCTCAAGAGAATCGAGCCTTTAGATCCACATGCATTACTTCAATCGTGCATGATCCTTCATAGAACACCCTATTTAGTCGTATGCGTAACCGTAAACTATCCTTTCTTGAAAAACTTACGATCATAGAGAAAGCAAAAAAAGCTATTTAAGCATAAAAACTTCACGATCCTATTGATCTCCTTGCAATGGGCATTGTGAAGAAATATTTTAAAGATGGAAATCCTTTATTTATCAACCAAGCACTCTCGAGATACTTTTAAAGCTCCATGGCCACAATCTGTAGTGGTCAAATCGCTTGACAAATCTATTTCCTTCAAACTACTATATACCAACATTGAGCAACCTTGAAAGCCTATTAGGGGTTTTGACATTTTAGATTCAGCTCATTATTTCTTTCTAGTGAAATTTGATGAACGAATTTGATATTTTAGATTTGGTTTTATGATTTCTTTGTAGTGAAATTTCATGAACGAATAGATCTTGATAATGCTTTTCATGATGGATCATTATTTCATGGATTCGTGGTTGGAGGGAGAGAGAGAGGTTCTTATTCGTCGGGCGAGAGAAGGAAAGAAAATTAGGGATTTTTATGATTTGATTTGGGTTTATATTGTGGGGAATTTGTTTTTGAAATAAGAGAAGGATTAGTAGACGACATGTTGTCTAAACAACCTCATCTTTTTTAGCCATGTGTCATCCTATGTGTGTTGTAATCCACGATGATATCCCGCATCTTATGCCACGTTATATGAACTCGAAACCTTAAACAAAAAATACATGCTAAAATGATAACGAGAAGCTTAATACATATATTTTCCATCTATTTTTTTAAAAACATGCTAAAATAATTAAAATGTGTAAAGTTCGTGCATTTATGGTACAATAAAGCCTTCAAGAATAAATCTATTATTGCTACAAAAAAAAAAAAAAAACTATCAACTAGATTCTTAAAAAAATGTTTAATTATTTTTTTTATGGGATTGCTAGAGTAAAAAAAACAAGAGGGAAGGTCTGTTTGTTTGTTTGTTTTTTTTTAAAATCAAATTACAAGCACATAAGCAAGCGAGGGAGAAATTGGAGGAAAATATATAAAAGGATTATATACATTGAAATTCACAATTCAAATGTTTCTTTAAAGCAATGCTGTAAAAAAAAGTTGCAATATAGGTGAATCAAATTGAATTTAGCGAGTTCAAAATTTTGACTTTTAATCCGATCCGTTTTACTTATTTTCTAACCTTTTGAATTTAATTTTATTTAGTCTATTCAAATACTCAATTTTTATAAATAAGACTAGGTTTTTCATCCACGCTACACCGTAGGTTGGATAAAATATATAAATTCATTTAGAAAATTTATTTCAATTTAATAGTCCGTTTTATTATGCGAATCTATAAAAATATATGAAATCAAAGGTGAAAAAAATTATTTATAATTTTTTAATAAAAAATTTTGTATTTAACTATTTCTTATTTGTGTTTTTCATAATTTTTTCTCTTATAAAAAAGATTTATCCTTGTTAATCCATGGATTATTAACTAAAAAGAAAATTAAATAATTTTTTTTAAAGCTTTAGCATTCCATAAGATTGTATTGAAAAACAAAATAATAATTATTAAAAGCTTATATAGAATTGAACAAATATTTTTTTTTACTTTTATTTAATGTAAATGAGAATATCAATTTTGAAAAAATGTGAATTTAATTTTTATATATTTATTTATAAAAGAATGAATAATATTAAAATAAAAAACCATATTAATTTGAATCATTGAGTGGTTAAGCCAAAACATAATTTTAATCATTTAATTTAAAATAAGTTAATTTTAAAATATTCAAGAATAAATAAATAAATAGTAAATGCTTAGTGTAGTAGTTGCACAGTTAATTTCTAAAAAACAATAATTCAATATTTTATACTAATTGAGTTCAAAGTTTTTAGTCTAAAACAAAAAATATTATAACCAAAAAGTTAACTTGCAAGGAATCTATTGACCAAATTTGAAGCTAATAGACTAAAATAAAAATTATTACAAATTTGATTTCGATTAATTTTGATTATAAAAAGAAGAAAAAAATTAATAAAACATGTAAATTCTTTTTCTTTTCTTTTTTCCTCCTTTGTAAATAGTTTTTTATTTCTATGCTATGCACGGCTAGTCGTTGAATACGAGTCTCACGCGCAGAGCAACCATCTTCTTTTTATTTTTCACATTTGACTTTTAACTATTAATTAACTAATTTGAGTTTTTTCTAAACCAAATCAAGAAAAAGTTATTTGAAATATACTTTTAATCTAAAAAGGTATCTCGGACAAATTATTTATATTAACATGCCACTATAATTTAAGAATTATTTGAATCTATTTTTCAAAAGAAAAAATAATCATATTCTAAAAATTTATTCCAAAATCCATACATATAGAAAAGCAAATCAAAATTATCAATAAATATAATTATAAATTAATTGGATGAGAATTTTTTATAAAACAATAAATTAAAGTAGTAAATTTTAAATAATAAAAATGATTAACAAAAAACACTAAAACAAAATGAGACCAAATCACAATACAATTAAAGTTTGAAATTAAAAAAAAAATGTATAGAAAAATTAAGGACCATAAAATTTTAAATTAATCGAATGAGAATTTTTTAAAAAATGGCAAATTAAAGTGGTAAATTTTTAATAATAAAAATAAGTTAAAAAACTCTAAAACAAAATGGGATTGAATTATAATACATATAAAGTTTGAAATTGAAAAAAAAGCATAGAAAAATTGAAGACTAAAAATGTATTTCAGACAAATTATATATATTAATCATACTACTATAATTTAAAAATTATCTAAATCTATTTTTTGTTTAAAAATCATGTTCTAAAAATTTATTTCGAAATTCATACATATAGAAAAATAAATCAAAATTATCAATAAATATAATTTTAAATCAATTGGATGAGAATTTAAAAAAAATAACAAATTAAAGTAGTAAATTTTAAATAATAAAAATAATTAACAAAAAATATTAAAAAAATGGGATCAAATTACAATACAATTAAAGTTTGAAATTGAAAAAAATGTATAGAAAAATTAAGGACCATAAAATTTTAAATTAATTGGATGAGAATAAAAAAAAACAAATTAAAGTAGTAAATTTTAAATAATAAAAATAATTAACAAAAAATACTAAAACAAAATGGGACGGAATCATAATACAAATAAATTTTGAAATTGACAAAAAAAGTATAAAGAATTGAGGACTAAAATGTATTTCAGATAAATTATATATATTAATCATGCCACTATAATTTAAAAATTATCTAAATCTATTTTCAAAAGAAACAATAATAATGTTGTAAAAATTTATTTCAAAATCCATACATATAAAAAAATAACTCAAAATTATCAGTAAATATAATTTTAAATTAATTGGATGAGGATTGAAAAAAATAAAAAATTAAAGTAGTCAAATGTAAATATAAAAATAATTAACAAAAAACTTTAAGAGAAAATGGACCAAATCACAATGCAATTAAAATTTGAAATTAGAGGAAAAATTTTATAGAAAATTATGGAGCATATAATGTTAAATTAATTCGATGAGAATTTTAAAAATGACAAATTAAAGTAGTGAATTTTAAATAATAAAAATAATTAACAAAAAAATATTAAAACAAAATGGGATCAAATCATAATATAATTAAAGTTTGAAATTGAAAAAAAAGAAAGAGAATTTAAAAAAAATAACAAATTAAAATAATAAATCTTAAATAATAAAAATAATTAACAAAAAATACTAAAATAAAATGGGATTAAATCAGAATACGAGTTAAAGTTTTAAATTAAGAAAAAAGTATAAAAAATTTGAGGACAAAAATGTTACAAAAATAAAATAAATAATGAAAAAAATTACGATTTGCGAGTATGTAAATAATATTTCAAACAGTGAATGAATGGTAAAATAAATGATTTTACTTTAATTTTATGTATAATAAATTAACTACTATAAATGAGTAAGAGATTTTAAACACCTTGATATCCATTAGTATTTTTCATCAGTTTTCTGCAATAAATAGTGCATCTTTATCGTATAAAACATGCACGCCAGATGATAAAAAATACTAATAAATTGACAGAAGAACCCAATTGAAAAAGGTGACCTAATTGACAAAACACTTTTAATTTGGTTGATTTTGAGATTCGGGAAATAAAACAGAGATGAAGTTGATGTTTTCCCCAAATGGAGAAAATAAAGATCATCCTCACATATATTCTCTCACCATTCATCCCCCTCAAACTCACCGTCAGATTTATCGATGGTAATAACTGACCCACAGGATCACATCCATCGGCTTAAAACAGTCGTAAAGGTTAAGAATAAAAAGGAAAAATACGCGAGTTCATTATATATCATAGACTGCCGGGCTAACCAATACTTTCTCTGCACTAACCCTAACATAATCTATAACACAACTCGCCAGTATATTTTTTGAGATGATTTTCTCTCATTCGAGTTAGAATATAGAACTCGAAATTCTTGTTTCATATAAAAGCGTTTTTAGTTATAGCATTCTTTCTTGCAATTCTTTTCTTTACATTTACAGACACCGCGAAAAAGCTTGGCAGACCTTCTGAACAAGGTATTTTTCGGGTTTTTGCAATCGTTTTGTGATGATTTTAATTATTTTCATGGGGTCGATGTTATCTAGGGTTTATTCTATCAATTGTATTGCATTTACATAGTAATTTTTATTTCAATTTTATGTGTATTTATTTAATACATGCGTTATTAGTGGATTTTTTTCTTTTTTTAATGTTTCGGTTTATTATTCGCCATCCAATAATCAGTTGAAGAACTTGAAACAAGAATATTTAATTTTTTAGTAATTTAAGCTAATTTGGATTTTCAAGCTGAGCTTTCGTTCTTGAAAAACAGGATTGATGAAGTTTTGAATGAAGTTTTTGATGGTCATGTTTTAAGACTGTTTTGAAAAAACTGTTGGATTAATATCGTCTGATTACAGAATTGAATCTGGAATTTGTAATTGATGCTACTAAAATATCATGTTGGAAAAAAAAATTAATTTAGATGATTTAGGTATTGATTTTCAATTTTTGGTATCTGCAACTGTCGAGCTATTTTGCTTTTCCTCACGTTTTCCAATAATCCTATGTGGGTTTTTTATTTCTATTGTGGTTGCAGTGCTATTGTTTTCTTATGATTTGGTCTGGTTGTAGATAAATATCAGACATGGCAACAGCAGAAGCAGCTTCATCTACCCTTGGGCCACGGTATGCTCCAGAAGACCCTACTCTTCCCAAACCATGGACGGGACTGATCGATGGAAGTACTGGTCTTTTATATTACTGGAATCCTGAAACCAATGTCACTCAGTATGAAAAGCCCCCATCTGTGCCACCGCCAATGCCGCCCGGTCTGCCTCCTAATGCTTCTATGCCTAAGTTGGCCCAGATACCCATGGCACACTCCTCGCAACCAAATGGTTTAGTGGCTCAAGCTGCACAACAAACTACTATGCAAGCATCACAGCAGCAAGGGCAACAAATCAGCCAGTTGCATCAACAATATGGACAAGTAACTGCACAACAGCAGGGTCCCCATGTAGTGCAGGTTTCTAACCCGCAGGGTGCACCACAGCAAGGTTCACAATTGGCACAGGCTATGCAACAAACAGGGCAGTTGAGATCAATGCAGCATCCAGGTCAGCATATGCTATCCCACACAGGGCAGCAAATGCCTCAACAAGGAGGTCAGCAGATGCCCCAGCAGGTAGGACAGTATATTATGCAGCACCAAAGCTCGCAGATGCCACAACCACAAGGACATCAGTATGCATATCAGCAGCCAATGCAGTACCTGACATATCAGCAAAATGTGCTTCCACAAGGCCAACAAAGCTCGCAGCAGCAGGCCCAGCACAGTGCACAAGGGTTGCAATTTTCTAATCAACACGAATATAAGGCAGCATTGCCTAAGAGAGAGGAAGTTGAGTTCCAGCAAGGAAATCAAACTGGGTTTTCTCCATCTCAGTTTCAACAGACTGGTGGATCATCCTCGCAAAACATGTCTGCTGGAAGCAATTCGGTTTCCATGCCGCTTGCTGGTGTTCATTTGGGTCAGGCTCAGCAGTTTGGTAGCTCTTCTGGTAATATTCAACAGCCTGCCTCCATGGGTCAGATGCAGCAAACTGGGACAGATTTTCATCAGCAGCATGTTCCTAGGTTTCAAAATCACATGGCCCTGTCGGTGATGCACAATCAGCAGGCTAATGTGCCCCCTGTTGGATTGAATGTGGGTTATGAGAACAATGCACGTGGTAGGTCTGGCAATGATCATTATATTAATCCTAAAATGGAAGGGCCTGTGATGAGTCCCCATCAGCCTGAATTCACAATCATGTCAAGGGAAAGAAAGCAGCAGGTACATTCGTTGGTGCTCTCATCTGTTATTTCCTAGCATTTGTCTCTTCGAACTGGTTTCAATGAAAATTTTACCTTACATAAACTCATCAATATTCCATTTGCAACCTCCTAAAAAAATTAAAAAAGAAAAAAAACCTGTTGTATCCTGGATAATTGAAATTTGGAAATGAGCATTACTGATGGGTTCTTTGATCATGTTCTCTGATTGACTCACCAGTGAAGATATTGCTTATCCTTTTCAGAATGTTGGACCTGGTCATGGTGGTGGATTTAATGCAGCTGGGCATCTCAACCATAATATGTATAGTCATACAACTGGTGGTCCACCCTTTCCAAACAATGCATTGATGAGACCCCCTTTTATCGAAGCTGGAGACATTTCTAACCTCTCACCTGTTGAAGTTTACCGCCAGGAGCATGAAGTTACAGCTACGGTCTGTATGCTAACTTGACTAGATATTACTATCATGCTGATTTGCATGTGATAGTCCCCAATAATTGATTTTAATAAATGCTAAAATCAACCGCTCTGCAGTCAGTTCTCATGTAGTTGATAAAATTACACATCATGAATTGGGGCAAATGGGTGTTACAACTAATGACTCAACCGGCAATCCATTACATGCGTAGTCATAGGCATCAAAAGCCAGATTAGACTGTTTGGAATTCGCTTAGCTTTTGGGTGGGTCAGATCATTGAACACCTAGGCTTCCCCAAATTACATTTTTTGCTTTGTGAAGGCGTGGATGAGTGGAGCACTATCTGACCAAGTTGCATGGATGTGCCACTCAGTGACATGTGGTTGGATTTGACTGGAGTAACAGATATGTGATATTCATGTATTTTCTTTTTGTTGATCTCATAATTCATTAATTTAAGTTATAATGAGTGTGGTTTTTAGATTGAAATAATGTATTCTACTAGACCTCATGTAGATGTCCTCTTCTATTCTTACTTAAAAAGCTGTATGTTTTTAATTTGTTTTTTCTGTTGAAGGTTTTTTAATCCATTTTTGCCTGTTTCTTTCTTTCTTTCTTTCTTTCTCTCCCTTTTGGCATTTTCCTTTGGAAATTTACCTTTCATCTGGAAGAAGGCTCGTCTGTTTCGGTTTCAGTGTTTCGTTCCCATTATTTTGTATCTGATGGCATCTTAATTAATTTGGATTGTTTTTATCTTATACTTGTCTGTACATTTTGTAGGGTGACAATGTTCCTGCTCCATTCATGACTTTTGAAGCCACTGCTTTCCCTCCAGAGATCTTACGAGATGTAAGTTCTACTTCTGCCAGAATTTTAGGTGTTATGTCTTAGGTTTAGAAGAACGAATTTGAGATCTGCATCTTTCCGTTTCTGAGATATTCTTGCCTTTTGAATTATTTTAAACTTATAATTTCTCACTTGTCGCAGGTGCGATATCTGCTCCGGAGGAGGAGCATATGTCGTACGCTGCTCTGCTATTGGCACACTTATTCATGCAAGAACTATTCTGATTTTTTGGAGGCTGCAAAATGGACAGTTGGAGCCTTTCTTGTGCTTCTTCTAGAAAGGTGGTTGGCCTTTTGTCCAATTCACACCTGATGTGACTGGGATTTGTTGCTTATTGGCTCCGCCTCATATGTCTTTATTGCCCTCTTTAGTTGCTCGAGTTGCTTATGTAAGCAACTGTATACCCATGGATTTTAGTTATTTCTTTTGTCACAACATGTTGTTGATCTCCTTTTATATTGTTTTAAGCACTGATAAGTTAGATACACATAATTTTATCAGTTCTGCTTATCTAAGTTCACACTTTTGTTCCAGATACATTCTGCTGGCTTCTTATCTCCAACACCAATCCAGGCACAAACATGGCCAATTGCACTACAAAGTAGGGATATAGTAGCCATTGCCAAAACTGGTTCTGGTAAAACATTGGGTTACTTGATTCCTGCCTTCATTCTTCTTCGACAGCGTCGAAATAATGCTCAGAATGGACCTACGGTCTTGGTCTTGGCGCCAACCAGGGAGCTTGCCACACAAATACAAGATGAGGTGACGAAATTTGGTCGATCTTCAAGGGTCTCTTGCACGGTGAGTCTTCCCTCTGAGAGCTATGTGATCGCTTTCCCTTGAAATGTTGGTTCATTATATGACTGTGTTCTTTACTGCAGTGCTTGTATGGTGGGGCTCCTAAGGTCCCTCAGCTGAAAGAATTAGAACGGGGAGCAGATATAGTTGTGGCAACACCTGGTCGACTTAATGACATTCTTGAAATGAAAAAGATTGACTTTAGGCAAGTTTCACTTCTTGTGCTTGATGAGGCAGATCGAATGCTTGACATGGGATTTGAGCCCCAGATCCGTAAGATTGTGAATGAAATACCTCCACGAAGGCAAACACTTATGTACACTGCAACCTGGCCGAAAGAAGTGAGGAAAATAGCTAGTGATCTTCTTGTTCATCCTGTTCAGGTGAACATTGGAAGTGTTGATGAACTTGCTGCCAACAAGTCCATCACGCAGGTAACTTGAAAAGTAGTTCATTTTTTTTTACTTTAACGAGAATGCAACAAATTAGATTGCAGTAAATTCTGCCATGCTTTTTGGGGGAAAACCTCCTCTAAATTAATTTTTGTCACATATTTGACAGATTTATGCTTTATGGGACCAAAAATTCTTTGACACTTGCTGAATATGTTTCTTTTCTTCTATTTAAAATTTTCGCAAACTATTTCTCCAAATGTTTATTTTTTGTATATTTATATGCAAATTTCACATTTGTTCTGTTGCATTTTGTATATATGTTCCCTTGTTCTTACTATAAACAAAATAATGTGAATCTGCAGTATGTTGAAGTGGTCCCTCAAATGGAAAAGGATCGGCGCTTGGAGCAAATCCTTAGAGCACAAGAGAGAGGTTCAAAGGTTATCATTTTTTGTTCTACAAAGAGATTATGTGACCAGCTTGCACGTAGTATTGGACGGAACTTTGGAGCTGCTGCAATCCATGGAGACAAGTCTCAAGGCGAAAGAGACTGGGTTTTAAACCAATTCCGGAGTGGAAAATCTCCAATTTTAGTTGCCACTGACGTTGCTGCACGCGGTCTTGATATCAAAGACATAAGGTTAGCTCCTGTCTCCTTTTGATTCATGGATGAGAGTTTAATGGAAGTGGGAGTTTAGGATGAAGATCCTGGTCTTGATTTTAAAAATATTTGCATATTATTAACTTGTTGGAACATTAAGCACTCTCTTTGGTGATTGTCTTTTGCAAATTGCAATCTTACATCCATTTTCATTTTCTAGGGTTGTGATCAACTATGATTTCCCCTCAGGGGTTGAGGACTATGTCCACCGAATTGGCAGAACTGGGAGGGCCGGTGCCACTGGTGTATCATACACCTTTTTCTCTGAGCAGGACTGGAAATATGCAGCTGATCTGGTTAAAGTTCTGGAGGGAGCTAACCAGCATGTGCCGTTGGAGGTGCGAGAGATGGCTTTGCGTGGTGGGCCTGGCTTTGGGAAGGATCGAGGTGGGTTGAACCGTTTTGATGCAGGCAGGGGTGGTGGGCGTTGGGATTCTGGTGGCCGTGGTGGGATGAGAGATGGTGGCTTTGGCGGTCGTGGTGGAATGCGAGATGGTGGCTTTGGTGGTCGTGGTGGCATGAGGGATAACAACTTTGGGGGGCGTGGTGGGATGAGGGATGGCAACTTTGGTGGTCGTGGTGGTGTTAGGGAGGGTCCCTTTGGTAGCCACGGTGGGAGATATGACTCCTTTTCTGGACGTGAAAACAGGGGAAGGGGATTTGGTGGCTCTGGTGGTGGTCATGTAGGTTGGGGTAGGAATGATCGTGGCCCAAATGATCGTCACAGCTACATGGATGGCCGTGGACGAGGTCGTGGAAGATTCGATGTTAGAAGGGATATGACTGATAGGAGTAGGGGCAGAAGTTTCAGCCGAAGCCCTGATAGGGGTCGGACATGGGGTTCTAGTCGGAGTCGTAGTAGGAGCTGGAGCAGAAGTCGGAGTCGGAGTAGGTCCCGCAGCCGCAGCCCCCGCCGCAGCCGCAGCCTCCGACGCAGCCGCAGCTCCCAACGCAGCCACAGCCATAGTCCTCGACGTGCCAGTAGCCACAGCCACAGCCCTCGAAGGAGCCCCAACTATGATAGATTTGAAATGCCTCGAGAAGGAAACATTGAGGAGAAGGATATGACAGTTCCAGAATTGAAGGCTTCAGAACAAGAAATGTCTCCGATGTCCCCAGGCACACATGGTGATGTACTTTCAGGAGCAGAGCTGCTGCCAGCCATTGAGGGTGCGGAGCCAGTGCAACTGGAGGCTACTGGAGATCCAGGGCTTCTGTCAGTTGCTGAAGCTTAAGATGTGATACGTTTTACTTTTGAGTATGAGAGCGGCGAATCCAATTTTTATTAATTAAATGGTTTTGGTGACCCCTGACTTATCCCAATGCTGGCTGCTCTGGAAATTGGTATGGTAGCAACAACGCAAGGATCAGGTGAATTGGTTATGTGCATGGTGAATGAACAAATCAATCAAACTACTAGTTCTATTTTGCATATTGGGTAGGAATTGTAGCTTGGTTGAGCTTAGGTTTGCCACCCTTTGCCTGAGGGTGGGCCCATTCTCAATTTGTTTTTTCGCCCATTTTATGAACGTCTTGTTTGGGTGGGGGGCCTGTGGTAATGTGTTGCTGCTTGGACGAGTTCTTTATATGTTTGCATTTACTGGCGATTCGTGAATTTAACATCAATATCTGAAAGAGTTATTCAGATTCAGAACGATTTCTTTTGTACTTGTCTTCTAATTTTCCTATTGCTAGGATCTAGCTTCAGGTTGTAAGATGACCGTACATGAAAAGTACCTATAACTGAAAGGGGAAATCTCGAGAACACAAGTAATCATTTAAAAAAAAAAATCATTTGCTTCTTCCTGCATCGACATTTTGCTCCAAGCGTGCTGCGATTGGCTTCTAGTGATTAACTAAGAATAGTCATGTCTGCTACTATACGCGTTTGCATTCGGGCGTTGACTGTTGATCTTTGGCAGGCAAGCCTTTCAGCCAATTTTATTGGCCAGACCCTTAACTTCGAAAGTAACTTCCAAAGGAACCCATGGATCTTATATGTGCTCGGGTACAGAATTTATTTATTATTACAGTATGAATAAAAATATACACCTACCAAAGGAAGCTCCCATAAATAAATTTAGAATCGCAGGGGATGGCCTACTTTATTGACATCAACTTATATTTTCATCAAGTAGATTCTCTAAATGTTGTTTTTCAAATATATTTCTTTTAAGTACAATTCGTTCAATATAAATTTGCTTTGTATGGTTTTACTTTTAAGTGTAAATTATAAATTAGATTTTTTAATTTTGTGAAATGAAATAATTAATTTTTATTTTATAAACTAATTATTTCAGTGTTAATCTAATATTTCGTATCTTCTTTGTTCCTCAAAGTTAGAAACACTATGTAGCTTGAGGAGTGCTGTCAACACTCTTTTTAAAAACTTGTTCAATAAAAATGTCAACATTAAATAATGACAAAAAAAAAAAAAAAACCTATGCACTATGTTCTAATGAAGTTTTTAAATTATAATCAATCTCATATCATGTAAGAGATTGAAATATTTATAGTTTATTTATTAACCTTTAAGATTATATAAAAAAATTGACGTTAATATTTTTACTGAGCAAGTATTTAAAGAAAAGTGTTAGGGATGGTGTTGCTTGTACTACTTTTATAATTCACTTTTGTTCTTACACTAAATGCTAAAAACAAAGGGATTGGTATTTTGTCATGAGAAAAATGTTTTTTTTTTAACCATCATTTTTTAAGTTTGTTATAGAATAATAAAGTATATTATGAATTAGTTCCTCTCGTTTCGAGAAACGAATTAATTAATCCTCGTAGTTTTAAAACTCAATCATTTAGTTTTTTTGTTATTTTTTAATTTATATTTTACGAAGTAGAAAAGAAAAACAAATATGTAAAGATTATGGAAAGTTTGATGAGAAGAAGATATATTCTACAAAATAAAAAATATTAAATCAATCATAATTAACACCGGTTAAAAAGGATAAATAATTAGGATTGAAATGAAGGGACTAATTAATTAACAAAAACAACTAAATTAAAATGATAGTTTACTGTTATAAATACTGTTCACTGTGACTATAGTTACTGTGGACACGGACTCAAAAAAACTATTCCTTTAACTGTTCAAATCTCAGCTCTCATCTTTTCCTTGTGCCTTTCTTCTTCTGTCGAAAGTTCCCAGCCAAAGACTACCTCTCTCCCAAAACTCCTCACCCACCATCGATCTCCACACCTCTCAACAGCAGTCCCCTCAGCCGTCGACAGCTACCCTTCCACCACCGTCCGCTGCTGTCAAGCCGCCATTGCCATCTCCCTCACCCAAACCTGTAACCCGAATCCCCACCACCAACAAATTTGTCTTTCGATTGATTCTTCTCTCTCTCTGTTGTCGAGAATGGAAGAAGAGATGCAAGGCACAGAGGCAGGGAAAAAAGAAATGCCAGCGAGTCGCTCAACATCGAGTCCTAATTCATGGAAGCCATGCTCTCTCGAGTTAGCCACTTCGAAGAACAGGTGGACTACTCTCTCTTTCTCACTTGCGAAATGGATGTAATTTTAGGGCTTTTTGTTATAAATGAATGCAATTTTAGGGTTTTTTCCAAAGAATCCTGACGAAATTCAATTTAATTATGTTTCGGGCTTAATGAGAAACGAAGTGAATGATATTGCTTTGGCTCCAAGAATTGCTGAAAAGGCAAAAAAGATTTGTTCAGTATCAATCAATTTGATAGATAACTTGCATTTCATCATGATTATATGGATTTTTTGCTTCTTCATTCAGTATCAATCAATTTGACACTGTATTTCGTGGTGGGTTTTTCGATTCTTTGCAAATATTGGCATCACAGTTTAGATTTCCTGATGCTCTTGGCTTTGGGCTTCTATTTAATCATTGTTCCCTTAGGAGAAGGGACACTGGATAGTGAAGTGGTTAGTCATTCTTATTGATAAGCAACAACTCTGCGACCCTACTTACATGTGTAGTAGGCTTGGATTGGAAAAAGAAAAAAAATTATTTTTTCATCCTTTATATAATTTAGATGGCTAATTTGGCGATCGGATTAATCCATGAAATCCTCATGCGCTTCATTTCTGACTGGGATGTTAAGGTTCAGATCGCTGTAACTGGACTTTGTGATATTTGGGAAGCCAATGTACTGATTGGTATTCATGGCAAAACAACATCCATTGGTCTTTCTTCGTTGATACCCAAAGACAGTTAGCAAAATCCCTACAAATTATAGAGTTTTAGGGATGATTTTCTCCTCATATAAGCTCCTGTTAGATTAGAATAATGGTTGCAAATTTCAAACCTTCTGATTGAAAAAGTTAAATCTCAACGAAGGTATGCTCTCAAGTTGGTCCATACCAAGGCTAGCTGTTGAAAAAAGGTTACAAGCCAAGCATTGACGATACATTCCTCATTCAACCATTGTTTTAAAAGGTGCTCTTTTTTGCTTTATAAAATTGATTTCCCTGACAGTGTCTTCTTTGATGCAGGTCTACACCATGGTTCAGAAGTTTAAGAAGAACAGTTTGTCCACCGTTTCAGGCTCAGCAAGGAAAACAACCAACTCAAAGAGACTAAGATCGTCCTAAACTGGAATTTGCTACAGTTGACTGGCAAAGAAAGATCCTTGGTCATTGTACTAAATTAATGAAAAGGTTTTTTTTCATGCCTCTTAATAGACTCCATGATTTATTTATTAATGGCTTCTAGATATATCTAGCCACATATTATTCTTGATGGAGTAAGATGCATGCCTAGAGATATGTTTTGGCATTAAATTGTGATGCTTGATTTTTTGCTCCTGCAGAAGCAGCTTCTTCTACCTATTTTTGTATACCAGACTGTAAGTTGTAGTGGATTTTATTTATTAACAAAGAAATATTTTGAAGTAAGCTAACTTCCTTTTTTAGGTAATCGGAATACCGTATCAAATGCGTGGAGACACTATATATGTGATCGCTGGCTTCTATAAATAGAGAAATTAAGCCAATATCCCCTGAAAATCTGCATGCACTATTATCAAATTGAGCAATTTCATGTTGTGGACTGCAGAAAGTTATCTGTTTGATGTTGTAAATTTAGTGATCTAGAAAGCTTTCTTTCCCCATAAGGAGAGGAAAATAAGTCAATAAAGACTTTTTTTTTTTTGTTCTTTTGTATACAAATAGTGCAGAAGTTGTACATGGACACTCTCTATATATGAATTCTATCCAGATCCTTTTTGATAGGGAATTGACCCCTATGCACACCTATGATTTAGTGATTGCTGGCCTCTGGCTGCAAGGGGCTCAAGAGTTGTAAGGAACAGGATGATGGAAGTATCTCCTGCAGTTTTGCCGCAAAGGAAGAAGACTTTGCCAACTGCAGTGTGCCAGTGATTGCCCATGCAACATGATCATTGCTCTAAAGTTTGGCATTTCAGAGACTTGTGTTGGAGAGCCCATGGGAGGGATTGTGCCACGGTCTTTGTCGTGTAAGAGCAATTTTGTTACTATTTATTTATTTTATTTGAATAATAAACACAATAATTATTTATAAAAGATTTATATTATTGAACAATCTATTTTTTAAATGCACTTTTCGACATTTGGGATTGTGTTTTAAAATTTCATGTGAACAAAATTTAATCTTAGTTGATGCACTAACAAATTTAAGAATACTTTTTTAAATAAAAGTTAATTAAGAATCATGTTTGCTCTGAGAGTTATGATAATAATTTTGGATAATACTAATAATTTGTTATTAATTTTTTATATATATATTTTAGAATAATTTTTTCCAAATAAAAATAGTTAAATTAGTGTTTTAGAATAACTAATAGTTAAATTAGTGTTTTAGAATAACTATCTAATAATTTAAATGCATCTTTTCATAATACTGTTATTCATTATTTTCTAAATAAAAATATATGTAAATAAAATGCATATATTTTTAAGAAGTTATAAAAAGAATTGTTAGTTAATTTTTATTCAAGTTTTCTTATTGATTTTTGCTATATTTGTGATGCAGTCATATCAAAAAAATATTAAGAGGTTTTTTTTTAAAAAAAAATAGTAAATTTTCTATTTTTTTTAACAATAAAAAATATTAAAAAGAATAAATCAAATACAAAATTTAAATCAAATAGTATGAAATTAGATGAATTATTTTTACATTTAATTTAATATATTTTAGTTAATGGAACTCATAATATAGCTTATTAAACTAAAATAAAATTATTTAGTTTCGCCCATTGTTTAGGATTGCGCACGATGAAGCATTTTTCAATGGATATGTCAGTTATAAGAAAAAAATATCTTCAATTATCAACGCTATAATCCTTTTTATTTACGGTAGAAACCTTTTTATATTTTATAAATAAATAAAAAGCTTTTTCATAGACTACATCACACAACATTAATCCAATGACTAAAATAAATAGGTCCTGATTAATTTTTTGCTTATCAATTGATTGATTTGAAATTTATTTGTAAATATCATCTTATTTTATAATCACATTTGTGAACAACGTCGTTAATCGTTCATCCAACTATATAAAGCCCGCAGCAAAGCTCGGGTCTCAAGCTAGTTTGTTTCTAAAAAGAAAAGAACTAATCTATGATTTATTCTAGAATAATACAGTTAAATATTGTTTGGTGACAAGGAATGAAACAATGAGAATGAAAATCAAAATTTTATTTTCACTTTATATGTGTTTGGTTGAAAGAAAAGAAATAAAAATAAAAACTGAAGATGAAAATGAAAATTATACCTAGTTTTATTTTCATGGGAAAAAAATGAAAACAAAAACAAGAAATGAAAATAATTTTTTTTAAATAATGATATATTATTTTAATTTATTGTGTATCAATTATTTTTATCACTCTCATCACCATCATTGACACCACCATCACAACGACGGTGATAAAAAAAATTAAAATTTTATATTATTATTATTATTATTTTGTCATCATTTTTTTCAGTAACACCGTCACTTTTATTATACAACAACTACCTCTTATAGTGGTTATATTAATTTTTTTAAATCTATTATTATTATTACTACTACACTATTATTATTACCATCATCACCGCATCCTTTTCTTCATCCTCCACAATCATCATCATCATCATCACAATCACATCTATCATTTTTACTATCATCATAATTTATGATTTTTTAATTATTAATTTAAAATTAGATATTAAAAATTTAAATTTAATTTAAATTATTATTTTAAACACAATATTTGAATGAAAATATCATCTTTATTTTTATATTTTCATTTTGAATTTTAATTTTTTATTTCTAATAACGAAATGACAAATTAAAGTCTGATGTAACCAAAGAAAAAATAAAAGGAAAAAGTAAAGCAGCAATAAGAAACTGAGCATTGATAATGTCACTCCTCAATAGCATGGCTATAAGCTTTGTGGTTGATAAAATATATAGGGGTGGTATTATCACAAGTAGAGTGGCATTATCAATTCCCTGGAAACTAAGGAAAGAAAGGGACATTTTTGTAAGAGTAGACCATAAGGACAAAGGAGAAAGAAATTATTTATGGGTAAAGGAAGGAAATTCAGCCAAACAAGAAATTTGCTATAATGCTAGTATGACAACCAGTGATCATAGCAACAGTCACTGTAAGGAATCACTTTCCAAAAGAGGAAACTTTCCTTGAAAATTATTCTACCGTTTACGTTAACAGCTGTGAACTCTATAAATTCTTGTCAATCAAAACATCGAAATCGACGCCGTTTAGTCTTGTTTCCTTTTTCACTTTCCCGCGAACCTTCCACGAGACACCATCCTCTCTCTCTCTTCAATTAAAACTCTGGTCAATTTCGGTAATTCAAAAATCCAATCGACAGAGACAAAGAGAAAAAGAAAAGGAAAAAAAAGTTTTTTTTTATTGGATTGGAATCCCCATTTTCGCCTCTCTCTCTGGTTTCTTGGTTCACACAAAAAACTGCCCTTTCAATTTCTCTCTCTTTTATTTTTCATTTTTTATCATAGAGTTAGGGTTTCTTAGTCGCGTTAACTTTGAATTTTTTTTCTTTTTTTTTTTTAAAATGTTACAAATACCCCTCAATCATCTCTCAAAATTTCTAAATCTCTCTCTTGAAGAAATGTCTAGGTCAATTATGGCTTGATTCTTCTGCTCTCTCTTCTCTGGTAATTAATTTAATTAATCAGTTCACACTCATCGTATAACTTCGGCGTGTTCCTTCTTTTCATTCACTTTGCGTCCTTCAAATATCTATTATTTATTGCTTGGATTTATCTAAGTAAGCTATTTTTTTCCTTAAGCTCAATTAAAGAGTTATCTTATCTCGTCAGTGTTTGATTATTGGAGATTCCTGAGAGCTGTTTTATTTATTTTTTTATAGTTTTTGTTGAATATTAGTTGGTGAGTAGGTTTTTTGCATTGTTCACTTTTTTTTGTGGGAGTTTTTTGTTGTTGTTGTTGTTGTGTACATCTTTCAGGCCTTTTCTTTTAAATCAATTTGAGAGGTTTTTTTTTTGGTGGACTTACTTATTTAGTCGATTTAGGCTTGGCTGTTAATTGTTTAGATACCCTGATCTTGTTCTTTTTTGGGTGTAATCGAACTGCCAAATTGGCTTCTCCTTGTTTCAAAATTAACGGGCTTAGCTATTTTCTGTGTTGTTTTTTCTTTGAGAGAAGCACGAATAGAAAAATTGAAGAATATATTGCTGCTTGAGTATTTTCTTTATAATTGCTAAGTGTTATTTCTCTGTTCTGTATATGCTAGTTTAGTCTCGTTTGGAGTTTGGATTGGTTCCTACCTACTTGATCAATGCTTAAAATTTGTTATCTATCTATTTCTTCAGGGGTGGCAGTCTTGGAATGGATATGTATAATGTTTCTGGACATGAAAATGCGGAAACTTATTTGGTATTATCTTTAAATAATCTTCTGTTTCATCTTATCAAAAGAAAGTCAAATTAAGTTCTAATAGCTCTGTATGAAGATTAGGTGTTTCTTTTTCCTTTTTTCTGATCATTTGGTGACATGTTGTCATGTCTTGGATTTTAGATTCAAGGTGCCGAGATAAACCCTATTTTGACAAGTTCAGTTGTTGAGCAAGTTGAAACTATGTACAACGAAGGATCCCCTGAGTTTGCTGCAGGTCAGGGATTGTTTTATCCTGCTGCCACCAACTATGGTTACTACTGTACAGGTAAATTTAACTAGTCCTGTTTGAATAACTTATTGTGATGCTTTATGATATGATGTCTTATTTGTGCATTGTATTGATCAAATGTGATCAGGATTTGAAACACCCGTTGAATGGGAGGACCATCAAAAGATTTTTGGTGCAGATGGTCCAGAAATCCAGTATGCGGTGAGTGAAGTCGCTCTGCCTCTCTTTCATACTCTTGTGTTCACATATGCTTCTGAATAACGTCTGATATTCAAAATGTCCACTTAATCTCCTGCAGGGTGCACAAACTGAAAGTTTACCTTATGTATATTATACATCTAGCTATGGATATGCACAGTCTCCATATAACCCTTACAATCCTTACATACCCGGTGCTATGGTAGGAGTTGATGGCCCGTATGCAGGGGCACAACAGTATTACACAATTCCCCCTTATCAGGACCCTGTATCATCATCTGGTTATATCCCTATTGTTGTTCAACCAGATGTCTTCCCAAATGTTTTGGCAGATCCTTTGTTAGATACTGGCATAGCATGCACTAGTAGACCCGATGGGAAAGGCCTGAAGCATGGCCTTTCTTCATCATCTGAAGCCTTTGCAAGGAATCCCCCAAGACCTGCTTCAAACCAGACTAATTCCTTTAACAGGATATCTGAAGGGCCAAAAGCTAATGTTGGACCTAGTAAGCAATCAATGACACATGGATGTGTTTCTTCTGGTAGCATTCTTACTCAGGCTTCATCGCATGTGCTTCAGGTATGATTTATTGCATAATTAAGATAATATTTTTGCTGTGTTATTTTTTCCTTGTAAAGAGAGGAAATTGTTGGAAACTTGCATGTTATTTTTCACCCTTGTGGTAGGTTTCATTGTGTTAGGACATACTTGTGTCAATATTGGCTAGATTAATGTCAGTGCATTTCAGTGGTTTCTTTCATCAATAATTAAGTTGGTCTTGAACTGATTGTTTTTGGATTTTGCTGAGAATCGTTCAAAATGTTTCTACTCTACAGGGTAGAAGTGCTTCTGGCCCTTTGCATCCCATTGACAACATTTCAACTGGCAAAGTCCGATCTCATCAAAACCAGTTAAAAGTCACCCTCCCTGTCAACAGTGGATTTTCCAATTTCGGGTCAAGTGCTTATGGACAAACCTCAGTGGATAAGCTTCGATCTAAGATTCATGCTGGCAGAACTCTCAGTGATC